TTCTCGACGGTTGTATGCTTGAGAGGAGCGGCACTTCCAGCCAGCCTTTCAAGCATAAAGACACCCCAGCGCCTATGCGGGGAAAGCAGGAGCCCTTCACGCCTCGTGCTCTCGTTGTTTGTTGCGCTGCTACAGCAGGGAGAGAAGTGGGTTCGTGTGCGCTGACTACGGCTCTATGTGCAGCCCTAAACCCTAAACCCTAAACCCTAAACCCCCGTAAACCCTAAACCAGCCGCAGGACGGCACTGTCGAAAAACACCAGCGTTTCCGCATATACAGCGGTGCTGAGCGACCTCTCCTGCTCATCATTCAGGGAGCTGCCTGAGTTAGAGAGCCCTTGCGGCAATGGCTCGTTGTTGCATTCAGGGTTTGGGGGGGGTTTAGGGTTTAGGGTTTAGGGTTTAGTGTGTAGCAACGCCCTGTGGAGTCGATCTTTGATGAGCTGAGGAAGCTTGTCCTAGATGTCGATGTTTCCACCAGCTGGTGGCTTAGAACTTGCGATGCAGAATAGGTTGCTGGCTTTGGCCTTGGCCTGAAAATGGGCCACCGCAAAGCCTTGCACTCAGCGCATGGACCGAAGGTAAACTGGCGGTCAAGACATTTACCCTCGAGTTCGCAGACGAGGGCGACGATATTCCATCATTCGCGGATTATCTTGCACCTCGCATCCGAGACGCGTCAGCACTGCATTAGGGCTTGTGAATACTTTTGCCAACGCACGCTTGACCGCCGCTTTGGTCTTCAGTTTAGTTCGGCTTCAGAGATCGCGTGGGGACGTTGTGAGTGCAGTATGCTAGTGTATGCTGCTATGCAGTTAATTATACACCGAAGAGCGCAGACGCTGTAAGTCAGCAAGCTTCATGAACAGCTGTGGCTGCCGCATCGCTTCTTGCTCTGCGACATGTTCGCCTTGTTCGCCTGGTGCCCTGCCAAGGAAAACCATTCACAGCCTGGTTGAAGTCACAAGCGGTTGCTCAGAAGATGACAACCCAGGACCGCACGTGTCGTGCTCGTACTGCGTCGTGCTGTGCTGTCTTAGAGGAGAGCAGCGTGTACCCCCATGGCATTCCCTTTGGACTCCAGGGACTCTCCCTTCGTGGCTTCTGACATGGCAGGAACATGTGTCCCGCGGCTTTGACAAGCCAGTTGATTTCCGAATTCCCGGGACGGTGTGCACTCAAATGACTGCCAGGCACATCGGCTCGTGTAGACCTGGGCACCGTAGCAAACCATAGAAGACCCTTCACATTGGCTGGCACAGGCGGGTCCGCTGCCTGGGCCGAACTCCGGAAGGCCCCTATTTATGTATATGTATATATATATATATATTTATATTTAAGGGGCTGCGCCCATGGGCGGGCAGCGCAGGCAGAAACGCGGGGCGAGCAGATCCGTCGAGGGTTTATAGTTTAGGGTTTAGGGTTTAGGGTTTTTTTTAGGGTTTAGGGTTTAGGGTCTTATGCCCGCCTTTTGGGGGGCATCATGCTCCTGATGCGCCCCCGGGGTCCCGCCCCGGGAGCCGCCTGATGCTCATGATGCGCGCCTGGGGGTCCCGGGCTGGACCCGCTGATGCTCATGATGCGCGCTCTCTGAGGGCCTCCGTGGCGACGCAAAAAACCACGAAAAAAAAAACGTTCACCGGCGGCACGCGGGGGTCGGCGGCACTGGCGTCCGGCCTAATTCTGCTTCGCAGAAGGCCAGAGGCCAGCAAGGCTATTCCCGGGACGACCCGGGCTAAAAGGTCCGCATTTGCTCGGTCCTTTGGGGACCTCGCGCTGCCCGATTTAATGGCTACCGCCAGTGCCGCCGACCCCTCAACCTGATGCTCCGCGCAAACCGGACAAGAACAAGGATGGCAGGGGGTGGGGTGGGGGGTGGGGGGGGGGGGGGGGGGGGGGGGGGGGGGGGGGGGGGGGGGGGGGGGGGGGGGGGGGGGGGGGGGGGGGGGGGGGGGGGGGGGTGGGGTGTGGGGGGGGGGGGGGGGGGGGGGGGGGGGGGGGGGGGGGGGGGGGGGGGGGGGGGGGGGGGGCATCTTTAAATATAAAGTCAGTCGTCTGAAGAGGCAAAGGGCCAGAGGCCCGTAAAACCGTGGGGCCATGAGCCAGTACGCACAGGGCCAAAGGACCATCAAGGGCCTGGAGGATTGGGGGTTATGGTGAGCTGGCCAGGGGGGGGGGGGGGGGGGGGACGGTGATGGTGAGGGAAGTGCGGGGGCGGGAGGGTGGCGGAGCGGGCGGGAAGGGCGGGGCGGGGGCGAGCGGGTGAAAGCGGTGAGAGGGGGACAGAGATGGGGAAGGGGAGCGGTGTGGGGCAAGGGGGAGGGGAGCGGGATGGGGGTGGAGTGGAATGGTTGGGAAGGGGAAGGGTGGCGGGGAGCGGGGGGCAGGGGAAGGGGTTGGTGGTGGGAGTGGAGGGGAGGGGGGTAGGTGGAGGAGCTGAGGTAAGTGGCTGGAGAAGGGTGGATTGGGGAAGGGGTAGGGGAGGGTAGTGGGATGGGGGGCAGGGGTTGGTGGTGGGAGGGTTAGGGGCGCGGAAGGCAAGGCCAAGTGGAGAGGTGGAGTGGAATGGTTGGGAAGGGGAAGGGGGAAGAGGTTGCGGTGAGGGCAGGGAGGGTCTTCACTGACGCCGCCCCGCTGTTGCTGGGGTCGGCGGATATATATAGGGTTTAGGGTTTAGGGTTTAGGGTTTAGGGTTTAGGGTTTAGGGTCTTTCTGTGATGCGGTGCAAAAGGAAGCAAATTGAGCCGAGGATTTCGCTTCGTCTGTTCGCAGCTCCGTTGGTTTCCACTTGTGCTAGCAGGGAGTCATGCAAGCAGACTTCCCTGCAGTATGTGCTAAGTCTGATGAGACATGCTGCTCGCCGACCCTTTGTTGTTCAGGGCATCATGATGGTGGCAGCCAGACAACACAGACCACCATTGAGAGTGTTGAGCCCAACAGCGTCGAAAGCGACAGTGAAGGCCGGAAGTCGAAGCTTCATGCGGGGCTTACTCTTTGGGGTCTATGTTGGGGGGGGGGTCCCCTGTTGTAGTAAGCCGACCATGTGGCGTTAGGTTTGAGGCTGTTCTTGAGTCACAGTAAACCGAAACCGGAGAGCCCCTGCAGACTCGGAGATGAGGGCACTGCAGTGTCTCCTGGACAGTCCGGACGCTCTGGAGGACCCAAAATCAACCTGCTCCACCACCCCCCTTACCCTAAGGGAGTACCCCTTAAGGGAGTACCCTTAAAGGGAGCACCCCTTACAGGGAGTACCCTCAAGGGGAGCACCCCCCTTAAATGGAGTACCCCCTTAAGGGAGTACCCCTTAGCATGCCCGGGCAAAAAAAAGAGGACCTCCAGAAGGTGGAGGAGCTCCTGGCGGCCAAGGAGGCTGCCTTGGAGCAGCGCCTGACGCACTTGTCGCAGGTCCAGGCATCGATGTCACAGACGCGGAACATGGACAAGGCAGCAGTATACATATATATATATATATATTTTTTATATGACATAACATATATAATAAATAAATAAATAAATGTATATATATATATATTGTATATACATATATATATATAATACTGTATAGTAGACATAATAGTGCGAAAGCAAGCAGAATGTGGGGGGGGGTTCCGAGATTAGGGGTACCTTGGGGTCCTTATCATCAGGGAATTCTGCTATTTGGGGGTCTATATTGGGGGTCCCTTTTGTATTTTCGTAAACCCCCATGTCGCCCTGCACACGTCGCCCTAGCAGTCGTATGGGAGGTGAAGGTCTTGTGTTCTCCACTGGTCAGGCGCCACTACGGACTTGCACCAGGATTGAGCTTGCCAAGCTAACGCAGTGCACCAGGAGCTGAACACCAGTTTCAATCTACGAGGATGGGTGTCCTCAAATGACTGCACAACAACTGCCGGCCGTACAGGGAGTGGCAGAGAGTGCATCTGTACAGAGTGTAGGGAGGTGCAGGCCATTTCTGGGACCGCATGGCGAAAGTCCACCAACTGGACTTCATACCCAATACCTTAGACCAAACATTTGACAAAGAGTGGTCGTTTCCACTCCGGACGTTGTTATTCTTGTCTTTCCTTCCGGGGCTGAGTGCTGCAGCTTCTCCATCTTGGACGCATGAAGTGCGCCCCTATGCTGTAGCCGGCTCTGGTGATGGTTCCTGCAGTTCCTGCAGGGTCCGCGCAGCTGAACTCAGCTGGGGCAGAGGGCCCGATGCAGGTGGGCGCAGGAGAGTGAGACGACGAGAGAGATGGCTGGCTTGAACATACCATATACAGTATGCAAATCTATGTAACAAACACTGAACAAGATCCTACAATAAATCATATATCATGTTTTGTAGTATTGAGAACACCAGGCACTTGATGCATGGACTGGCGCAAAGCGCTGAGGATGCCACACGCTGCGAGTCAAAATATGTCTCAGGCCAAGCTAGTAACCTACTGGCAGAATCCTAAAACCGATTCTGCTTTGTACGTGTCTTTGCTCGCGCGATGGTGAGGGCAGTAAGGGTCTTGGGTAATGGTAGTGATCCTAGAGCAGGGGGCCGCGTGGCTGCGGGAACGTGTTGAATGACCTGCAGCAGTCGTGAAATACTGAGCCTGATCAACTCTCTGCTTTGACATCGTGATTGTGCCAGCTGCACATGGTACCGACCCTGTCAGCACCTTCGTTGTTGCAAGCCCGAGCCCTTGAAATATGAGTCATCGGTCATGCTCAGATATCTCGCTCTGTGTGTGTGTGTGTGTGCATGTGTGTGAACCCGCTCCTGTCATGACTGGCTTCGCTCATCGAAGACTCTACTGTGGCGCCAGTTGCGAGTGGTTGGCATGGGGCTCGTCTTCGTTGCTAGGGCGTGAACGTGGGGCTCTGTTCGTTTCTTTCGGCTATTTCTTGTACCCTAGGGACCTTTCTTGTGCCTTTGCAAGATCTCTTTGCATGCTTCGGTGGTGCAGGTGTGTCACGAAGGCGACTAGCCTAGCCTCGTAAGATGTGGGCCAATTCATCCCACTCATGTATCAGTTCGTGGCAGTGTGGGACAGTGCGTGTTTTGTCGGGGCCGTTCTTCATGCTGCTCTTGTATCTTAGTAGGGAATGAGGGGAATGAGGGAATGAGGTACCCCATATAATTCCTTAAAGGGTAGATGGAGAGCGCTCCTTCCCTCCCCTACGAAGAACCAGGGGATCTTTCACCTTGCCGTTTTCGCTTGACAGGTTTAGCTCGACCAGCCTGGACACTTTGATGAACGAGGCTTCGGCCCGTGCAGCCGAGGGCCCGCGCTGTCGGGAGGTTTGCAAGGGCATGTCTTATTTTTTCTGAAAGTCGAGAGCAAAAAGCTCCTAAACCCTAAACCCTAAACCCTAAACCCTAAACCCTAAACAACCCTAAGCCCTAAACCCTAAACCCTAAACCCTAAGCCCTAAACCCTAAACCCTAAACCCTAAGCCCTAAACCCTAAACCCTAAACCCTGTACCCTATACCCTATACCCTATTCCCTATACCCTATACCCTAAACCCTACAAAGGCTTAATGAGTATGAACCTGTCTTGCGAAAGGCCCACTTGCCATTCCGACAGCTCTTGGAGGAGGTCCCGGACCCAGAGGCACGGTACCTGAATACATCTGAGTAGTTGCATGTTTTAAGGTTTAGGGTTTAGGGTTTAGGGTTTGGGTTTAGGGATAAACTATGAAATATTGGGATGTTCCCACGTGCACGAATCGTCCTTAGTAGGGATGTTCCGCCGTATACAAAACCGTCCTTATTAGGGATTATGGTAGTTCCTATTTTAATCCCGATTAAGGACTATAAGTATAAGGGGGAACATCCCAAATAGTATGTATACCAGAATACAAGTTTAATGTAATAGACGATAATGTACTGCAATAGGATCTAGTACTATGTCGGAGAAGATAGTACTACGTAGCACAATATAGTATTAAATAGGGCTCGAAGCTGCAAGTGTTGCTTGCTTGGCCTTGATTTCCAGTAAACTCGGTTTGGGGATAAACCCTAAGGTATCTCAAACGTTGTGTTTCCACCAGAGCCGTCCAAGGAGCGAGTTCGTACTTGTGGGAGAGACTTGCACAATAAATTAAGTATATACAATGGTATAGAATCATATATGACGAGTTTTTTTTTTATAATATAGTATTATATTAGAAGAAACATGGGGGTTTACGAACATAAGGACCCTTAATATAGACCCCAAATAGTAGGATTTTCATATAACAAGGACCCCAATATGGCACCCCTGAATTTCGGAAACCCCCCAACCCTAAACCCGCAACCCTGAACCCTAACCCTAAACCCTAAACCCTAAACCCTAAACCCTAAACCCTAAACCCTAAACCCTAAACCCTAAACCCTAAACCCTAAACCCATATAACTCTTATGTAAGGGACTCCGAATCTCGGAAACCCCCACAGAATACTACACCCAGCTCTCGTGCAGAATACGCCGGGCGGGCTCTTGGCGGCCTTCCCACGCCTCTGGCGGCTTTGCATCCCGCAGGTGCGGGGGGGGGGGGCAAGCAGAATGGTGGGTTTAGGGTTTAGGGTTTAGGGTTTAGGGTTTAGGGTTCAGGGTTCAGGGTTTAGGGTTTAGGGTTCGGGGTTGGCGTGGTTCGGGAGATGTCCGGAGGTTGTGAATAGAGCATCGTGCGCATTGTGCTCTTGACTGTCGCGACCATGACATGGCCGTGATGGCGTGGCTTCAGTGACCGTGGTGACCTGGTACCTTTTTTGGTTCTCACGGTTTGCTTCTCTAAGTCTACGGTTTCCCTCTCTGAAACATGCTCAGTTTTCTAGGTACAAGCCACAGACTTTTTCAGAGTGGATGTCTCTCTTTGTGGCACTAACGCTTCAGCTGTCGGGGTCAAGTCTTCCAAGCATAGCCAACCCCACCGCTTGCACCATCGTAGCAACGGCCCACTGATACCACTTGTGATGGCCAGCACCATCACCACCACAACGCAGTCATGATGGACCCCCACACGAATGACGTCACCCACTGAGCTCGCCCCCAAAAAAATGTCACAACCGCAGTTGATGCTAGTTAATTTCTTGCAGCTCGGAAGCAGTCCCTTGATAAAGGAACCCCAAGCTCTGGGAGCTGTGGCTGAAGGAGGCCAGTGCAGGGGTCACTGCAGTACTGGCAATGTCGAAGCTTGCGCAGCCGCTGTGGCGGGACCTTGTGCCACTAACAGTGTAGGCAGGAGGAGTCAGGAATCTGAGTCAGCTGTACGCCACAGGAAGCAAGCTATGCCCCTGTGCCAGGTGATGATGCAACCAGTGCAAGTTCTTCTCAGGCGATTGGTGCGGGAGTCTTAGATGCAAGGCTTCCGGAGGCTGATGTCCGTGCTGAGTCTTCTGATTGCATGTCCGGGCCCTGATGCATCTTTCGCCGCCTGTCGTACATGCCTGTTCCATCCTGTATGTCGTGGCATGCAGTCGCTCCAATGCTTTCGCCTCCTGGCATCAGCAGGATGCAATGAGGCTACGATCCGCCCTCTGACAACGACACAACCGTTCGCCAAGATGGGCACAGTCACAGTGCAGACATTCATGGGAAGCAACCAACGAGGAGGGCAGAAATAAGAATTGATGGGCAAGAGGGGCACGGGCTCTCGACATGTCCTGGGCTGATGTGTAAAGTACACCCGGAATGACATGGTGGAGGGCAGGCGCCAGCTCAAAACACAGCTAAGTTACCAAGGAAATCCCATGATGTTAGACAATGGTGCTCACTGCCTCTTGGCCACCTAGCGCCTGGCCATTCGCGGGTTCACCACTGCAAGGTAACACCACATTTGCTTCGATCATCCCCGCCCTAAAGCTAAGCAATGTAGGGGCCATCCTGCCCCTTTCGGACATCTTTTTTAAAGGATGCTACGCCGTATGCACTGCAGGATCTCTGGGAATTTTCTGGGAAGTGGGCGCAACAGGCATGCTCGGCGGGATTCTCTGCCAGTTGGGGTGGGCACTCCAGGGATACTCGGCGGGATTCCGCTGGGATTTTCTGGGGGTGGGCCTTTGAGGGATACTCGGGGGCATCCTCTGCGATACTGTCGGCACTCCACTCGGCAGGCTCTCTGCGAGATTTTCTGAGGTGCACTCGGCGAGACCCTGGGATTCGCGAGGAGCAAACATGCCAGGGGTACGTGGCGGGACTCTTTGCGGGCTGCTGTCGGGGGTGAGCACTCCAGCGATGCTCGGTAAGAGTCTCTGCTGCCGCATTCTCCGGGGGGTGGGCGCTTCAGGGATACCCGTCGGAATGGCTTGCCTAACATGTAACGACTCCCACCGAGGGTGGGACAATAAAGTCTTCTCTTTGATGTCAAAAAAGCTAGCACCCATGGCTCAAAAAAGGCCACAAGAGTCCAAACGAACCCATCTCCTGCGACTCCAATGCGACGAGCTGGCAATCGGAAATCATCGTATGGCAGAAACTAAACCCGAAACCCTAAACCCTCAACCCTAAACCCTAAACCCTAAGCCCTAACTGGAGCCCCTGAGGCGCAGTCGCCCTTCTTTTCTGCCGTTGCCGGCGCCTAAAAACACATCCACAAGCTGCCGGCCCGTGATGAGGGTGTTCCCTTTCCCCGGATTCAGGTACGAGCCCGCTTGGTTGGACATCTCTTGGGGTGTCTGCTTCTCAAGCCTCGCGTCCGAGTCTTGGGGGGGGATATCGGATCCCATCTCCCGTGAGGCCACGATGCCGTATCCTCTGAGCTGACGGGGGAAGAGAAGCAACTTTGGGACTGACAAAAGCGGAAAGCATGGGCGGAAGACGCCAGGCGAAGCAACCTAGGAGTCTCACCTTCTCCCCTCAGCTGCAGGACATCTTCGTCCGAATTGATCACAACTTGGCGGGTTCGCTGATGGTCAACTTGGAAACTGCAGGCGGTGATTTGCCGTTGTCTCCATGCAGTGATACCCTGAATGACGTAGTACAGGCATGTATGTGCAGGCGATGTCAGAAGAGCTTGCGCAATTCATGATGCTGCAGCTCCATTGCTTAGTGCTCTGTTGCGCCTCTGTACTGCTCCAGATGACCTGTGCGATGCGCTGGCATCTGTCTCCTCCAGAAGTCATGCAGAGGCACCTTGTTGGGAAGGGCTGGGGGAGCAACAGGGCAGGGGAGAGTTGCACCGCCTGTTTGGGGTTTAGCTTCGTTGCTTTTTACGGCTCTTCCTGTCAGGCCTGTGTCAAGGCTCTTGCGGAGCGCGTGGACGACAGTGGCGAGTGCGACTTCGCAGACTTGCCCTGACCCTGGTGAGCTTTGCTGATTCTCCTGGGCATGACCCTCTGTTTTCCTTGGTGGAGTCAAAGAATAAGGCTTTTTAACATAAAAAAAAACCTATTTCCCTTGATGGAGCAAAAGAATGAGGCTTGATGTTTGGGAGTCCGAGAAGCAACCGGACCAACTGTGGCAGTTTCGCAGCAGTCTGCGAAATGGCCATGGTCTCAGTTTTCAGGGATGCCTGTTAACCTACTGTTGGTTCGTTGGGAATGGGGGAAAAAGGTACCATATCAATATATTATATCCCCTATGTACCCTTTAAGGGATGATATATGGTACCGCATGTTCCCCCATTTCCCTACTAACCAACAGTAAGAGAACATGCCAGTGCCATTGCGTTTCATCCTTGGTTTCCGGGAGTAGATCGCCGCAGGTCTCTCGAACTTGCTGGCAGGCACGCCACTGAACGCCTTTTGGTGTGCATCCTGCGGCTGCTTTCAAATGGCATGTGCTCATACTCCCTCAAATTCTGCGATTACAAAAGTCTCGGAATGGACTAAGAGATTACCTGATCGTCTGCTCTTCGGTCAGGTGCAGGAATCACGGAGGCGGCATCGTCGCACGTGCCTGAAATGCGGGCCCAGGGCTTGGAAGTCTGGGGATGCGGAAGTGCTTGGTGCGAGCGCATTTCCCCCAGGCACGCTGCGCTCGACTATCAGACTCCGCCTTGGCACTGTCAGCTGCCGCCTACCAGCGCACCTTGGTCCACACCTCGGCAACTCCTCAACAGTTTTCAAAAGCCCAGGGCGTGTTGCGCGAATTTTCTTGTCAGGTGCTGACCTGCAGCTGGCACTGTGAGCAGCGCCTGCAGTCATTTCTGATGACCAAGGCCTCAAACTTGTGTCTCAAAGCGAGTGTTGTAGTCAGCGTACCAATTTGCATAGCTTGGGCTTTCTGATTTGCACATGAGCCTGTGAGCAGCCTGTGCGAGTGCTGAGTGCGGAGATGCCAGGGAAGCCCTTCCGATCGCTCTCGCACGGAGGTCAAGGACAGACTGTATCATGACCCTTGGTGAAGCCTGTAACGGCGTTGGGAGTGACATCGCGAAGTCGTGGACCGCCTTCCGTATGTCCGTGTGGTGGGTGCGATATGCCCAGCAGCTAGCGTTTGGGGAGGGGGAAAACTACAAAGACATACACGCCCTCGATTGTTTGCATATGACGCGCCAGTCCTTGCTGGCGGTTCTCCGGGGCATTCACGGCGAACTCGTCCCCACTGCCGAAGACTCAGCTGGGCTTGGAGAGCTTTGAAGTCCTGCTGCCAGGTGGACCACTCTGTCTGGGCGTCTAAAGCTCTAGAGGCTATGCTAGAAAGAGTCCTGACGATGACTGTGTCGGATTTAACAATATGGTTTTCTGTACACTCATGGTTTTTGTCTCGTTTCGGACCAGGATATTGAGGTGCTGGTCCTTGCGTGCAGCATGTCATCATGGCCAAGCTTGGTCGTGTCAGTTGCGTAAGGAACCATGGGGGGGTGTAAGGGGGTGGCCATTCCAGAGATACTCCGCGGTAGTCTTTGTGGGCTTGTCTGGGTGTGATCTAGCAACCCCACACATTAAGGGTGAGGAATAAGCTCCTAGCAAGCCTTCGCTTACAGCGGCAAGAAGCTATACCCCTCCCTTACGCCCCGTGCTTCCTTATGAAGCATGCGCTAGCAAGAGCGAATCGTGTGAATCAGGAGCGCGTTCTGTGGGAGCTCATGGGCCAGCAGCAGCAGCACTTCGATGGGACCGTGGGGAAGCAAGAGGCGAACGTTGGAGAAGGTTGTGTGGAAGTGTTGCTGAATTGGGCAGGCATGGGGCCTAGTCACTCTCAGTGAATCTGGCCACCGCAAGATTTCTTCCTAACCCTAAACCCTAAACCCTAAACCCTAAACCCTGAACCCTAAACCCTAAACCCTAAAGACGAAACCCTTGGAACGTAGAGCTGGAAGTGAGCAGGTGCTATCAGCGCTTGAGGAGCTATTGGGCGACCTCAGACACGCTTGTGTCTGCAAATCTCATGTGACATTGCGGGGAGAAGCTTTGATTGCCGGCGGAAATCGTGAGCCCGGTTGCCAGGCTAGCAGCTGTGGCTAGCCGAACTTGTGGTTGGTAATTCTTGTTACCTCTCTACAACCGCGTCTTTCTCTGCCTGGAGCGTTTGTGCTCTCTGCGTTGTTGCTTAGACGATGTCCGGCTTAGCGGAAGACTCCCGATGCCTAGCTGAACAAGCCGCTGAACCGAGCCGAGCCAAGTCAGTTTAGTTCTGGGGTGTGACATGCCAATCGAGGCATGTCAGCCAGGCTCGAGGATGCTGTGTGCATGTTGCCAGCTCCTCCATGGGGCTGGTAGATAGGGAGCTTGGTGACTGAGAGATGGCAGCGAGTCCGGGGTCACCTTCATCGACAGGCCCACTGGGCCGAGAACCTAAAGCCCAAAGCCTAGACACTCAAGCCGGAAGCCTATCGAGGCAAAGAATTCTGTCCAAGCGACACAGAGATCACTCCGCCGAGACTTTCGAGATGGTCGCATGTCCGCGCCCCTCCACACAAAGTCATGCTATGCTAACAGCCGATCACATGGCACAGTCCTGCAGCCAATGCCAGGATTCCACGAAGAGGATGCGAGGGCCTCGCCGGGCGAGCTTGAGGCCTGGGTGCACCGCCGAGCTAAAATATCGAAGAAGGACTCGAGGTGGAGCAAGCAGGCCTCTCTTTTCAAGCTCCATCATCCACGTCGAGATAACATGCCTGGCCTCTGGAGTCAGGATTGATGAGCCCTAAACCCTAAACCCTAAACCCTAAACCCTAAACCCTAAACCCTAAACCCTAAACCCTAAACCTTCAACCCGAAGCCCAACATAAACTTTGTAGCAGGACCGGCAGAGCTGGGCCAGCATGTAGAGCACGCCGGGTCTACCACGGAGTCCATTTTCAGAGCTTCAAGCGAAAGGTTTTAGGATCGTTGTTTTTCAAGATGTAACTTTAACACAAGACTGCAGGATACAATGTTAAGATGTGGTTTAAAGTCAAACAAAGCTTTAAGATACAGCATCAAGGTACACTTTGATGGTATGCCCTCAGCGTACAGCTGTAAGATATGGGTTTAAGATCGCTCGTTGAGAAAGAGCTTTGAGATTTCTCAGAATAGAACTTGACACCGCTTTTTAAGGTGAAGACTACATGCTAATACATGCGTGTATATATATATATGTATATGTATATATAGTTAGTTAGATAGACTTCGAGGATGGTTGTTCTCAAAAAACAATACAACTATACATATATATATATTAATGTATATACATACACGTGTGTGTATGTATGATATACGTACATGTGTATATACACAAATATGTACATGAACAGGTGTTTCGCGTTGGAACGGCCAGTACCACGTGCAACATGCAGCTACCGTCTTGCAATGGATTGTACCCACAAAGTTAGTAGCGTAATAGTGCAATAATCGTAGATTATAACCATGTCCGAAGAAATATGATAGCATAAGTATCATACTGATATATTATAACAATATGTACATGTCATACTTTAACAATTTCACCATCCACTCTCCAGATATGGGCAGTCTAAGTCACCCATACCGATCTGCTGCAGCAGTGCGGGAAGGACGAAGTTGGCATGTGGCAAACTCCGTTCATTCCTTCCGAGTGCCACCTCGTGCCAGGAGTTAGGCAGGCTCCGCCGGCAGTGCCAGCGAAGATCTGTGGATAATCTGTTCGACGATCGAGGGAGGACAGTTGCCTCCTTCTCAGGGCACTGGCATTGGGTTTGTTTCGACCATGTGCTTTGATGTTTTGCCTGCCGCTGGTCGATCGTTTTTCTGCATCGACCTTTGCTTTTGCTCAGCTGACCGGCTTGACCGTATTTAGCCTTGAGCCGGATCTTGCCCCAGTTCTTGTTCTCGAAGCTTGTACACGGGATTCGCCAGCTCTTATGTGGCCTGAAGAATGAGGTCGCTTTTGCCGACGTCCTGCGGTGGTGGTGGGACATGCCAGAGGACCCCCAATTCTCCCAAGGCTTCAATAGTCCGCTGGCAATGCTTGCAACCTAGACGAAGCACTTGTCTATGCTTGTCGCTGGCCTCCGGAAAGCTCTCTTTTTGCAAATGACGCCGGTGTTTGCGTGGGAAGCCGGCATATCGACAGATCACGATTGTGACTTGCTTGTGGCTGCTGTGGCTAGCCAAGCTGTCCGTCTCGACAGTTTCGGAGCCTGACGTCTTCGGAAATTGTTCGAAGAGCTTGAAGCCAGAAGTGTAGACTTGTTGGTTCACATGCACTTGAATTCATTGCCGCGCAGGAGTACCGGGAGGCTGCTGGTCTGGCTGTTCCTGCCGGCTTCTTATGCGGGTCTGCTGCAACTTGATTTTGATGAGAGTTCTTTGTCGGGCAGTGTGAATGGTGGAATTGGCTGTGCCAAGGCTTCGGTGTTGCGACAAAGCTTGCGACGCCAGCCGGAAGAGATGCCAGTACCTGACACATGGAGTTGCAGTGTCACGTTGTCTTCGATGTGACATGGTGCAGGCATGTGTGACAGAAGGGTCGGGGGACAGCAATGACTCTCACATTTGCCCACGCGCGCCTTCTAAACAGAGACTTCGGTTGCATGGGGTGGGCCTAAAGCCCCGGTTCCTTTCCCCGAGCCGCTGCGGCTCGACAGTTTAGGGTTTAGGGTTTAGGGTTTTCTGAGCCTCCTACTTGTGAAGTGTAAATTCCACAGCATGCGACCCACCAAGTTAGGGTTCAGGGTTTAGGGTTTAGGGTTTAGGGTTTAAGGTTTAGGGCTGGCCCGAGGTTTCGAGGTGCGCTGCGTAGAGTCGCAGCTGAGCCAAGCTACTCTCGACAGGCAGGATTGTTGGAGAATGACTGAGCCTTGTGTGATGCAATGAAAGCAACCCCAAACCCTAAACCCCCAAGCCCAAACACTAAACCCTAAACCCTAAACCCTAAACCCTAAACCCTAAACCCTAAACCCTAAACCCTAAACCCTAAACCCTAAACCCTGAACCCCAAACCCTAAACCCTAAACCCTAAACTGCCCTAAACCCAAAACACTAAGCCCTGAACCACCTGATGCGTAAGGCGCTGAAAACTCCCGTTCCTGAACAGGCTCTTCGAGGGCACGTCCGTGCTTTTGCGGAGCTAAGAGCTTTGGCCGTGAGGCGAAGCCCGTTCAGGGTTAGTAAGGTTTAGGGTTTAGGGTTTAGGGTTCAGGGTTTAGGGTTTAGGGCTAGGGTTGAGGGTTTACGATTTAGGGTTGAAGGTTGAGGGTTAACATAATAACTACGATTTGTAGATATAAATGGTGCCCCTCCCTCCCAAAAGAAACCCACGCTTTCTGCTCTTTTAAGGTGTTTCACTAGTTTAGGTTGCAGATATGCCCTTGTCAACACACAAACAGATTAGATGCAGTTTGTTTAGTGCCCCTTTGCTACGGCAATTCTTGCTGAGTGCGCTTGCTCAGGAGTTGCTCATGAGTCCATCTGTTGAGGTTGCCCATTTGCTCAGACGCTTGTATGTGTTGGTAGAGTTGCCAAAGTCTTTGTTAGGAGAGGCAACGTGCCACTTCGTCACGGCTATTTTGCCTGTTCAGGGCACTCATCAAATTTTTTTGTGGTGCCCAAGCAAACGTGCCACTGTGTCACGTCCATGTTCCTGTGAAGGTGTTCGTTTAGGGCTCTTCGGGTTACTTGCCGCCCTTCCTCATCCTTTGAGATGGGAGTGTATATACTTCCCAAGTTGTCCTCCTTCTGGTCTGAAGTTCGGGGTCTTGGCTGGTGTAATTTTTCAGTAGGATCAACAGCGTTAGTATCAGTGTTTATTATCGGGTCAATAACGTAGTCGTAATCATAAAGGCGAAACAGTTAAGATTTCCAGAAGATTCGCTCGATATAGCACCCATGTCCCACACTTGGCTCACTTGGCTCAGGCGGAACATTGAGAGTTTCTCCATCCGCTCCACTGCAGAATCTCGAACAACGCTCTGATCTTGGTGGGCGTGAACGGTCATGCAGGGTCTATCAATGCTGATTTTTAGGGGAGAAGGGGGTGGACACGCGTTGTGCGCTCTTGAATTCTGGAGGCAGACTCCCGTCACCTTTAAATTTTGACGGCAAAGCCTCAGTTTCCTCCTAGTTTCGAGAGGAAACCTCTGCTTCCTCTGGATTTCAACAGCAAGTCTTCGACCTTCACTTTTCTCCAGTGGAAACAGAGGGTTTCGTATCAAAACCTTGGGGAAACGGGAGTTGCCTGTACTCAAATCTAAAGGAAACACAAGAAACACAATCAATAGTAAAGACACAGAGGAAATTTCCTATTGAAAATCCAGGAAGGCGAACAGGCGAACCCCCCCCCCCCCCCCTTGCCCCCTTCGTCCTACCCGTGCGGCCCTCTCCCCCCCCCCCCCTTCCCCCCTCCCGTTTCCCCAAAAGAAGTAACAATCAAGTCGCACAAAACTCCATCCGCACTGAAATATCGGGTAAAGAGCCAGCCCGGCTTGTGGTGCCGAGGACCAGTGATGCAGGAGACATCAGCGTCTTGCTCAGAGACTCCGGTCTCACAATCTGCTTTGTCTGACAGTCACGTGGCTTGAAAGTCCGACTTAGAACGCTGCAGGCTTGGCAACTTCAGCCGACGATCAGGCAGACTTGCATGAGGCCGGAATGCAAGCGGATAGTGGGAACTGTAGATTTCTTCATCCGTTTCTGCGTTTTCGGTTCTGTTTGCTATGCCTCGCTCGGTCTCTCCTCTCTCCCTCTGGCACTCTTCGGTGGCGGTCAGCTACTCTCACGATCTTCGTGCTTTCGAGCTTGCTTCGAACCAAGCGCTCAGAATGTGGGGTATGTCCCAACATAAGGGTAACCCTTTTGATACCCCCGGATACCTGTTGGAAGAATGATCAGGACGAGGTGCCTCCGTCTGATGTTCCGGCCGAATCTCCGGCTCACGGGTGAGGCCATCGCAGGCCCCTGCACCTGGCAGGGCCCCACCAAGGTCTTCAGGGCAGCCGCCAGCTGCAGAAGTGCAGGCGTTACACCATTACTTAAGCAAAACGGGTGAACTTCTATCAGTTCTCTAAGACTTTTGGTAAGGTTTCTGAGCCGTCAGAGAATCTCTTGCACGCCACGGCGCTGCAAGCTCCTCAGGAGCAACGAAGATGGATCCAGAAAGAAGTTTGGTTAATCTTTCCTGGCTCCCACCGTGCAAATGCGTACGGCGCTCTGCATGCGCCGGCTCGGCTTTCCTTGGATACTGCGAATCCTGCGTCACTCACTATGCATGGTCTCATCCTGGGTCAAAGCATGTCTGGGCAAAAGAGAAACCCTAAACCCTAAATCCTAAGCCCTAGACCCCGAACCCACAACCCTAAGCAATGGACTTGCAGTACCCACTGAAAAGCGGAGCACCGAAGCCAAATCTTTTCGCCGTTTCGCGGGGCCCCCCGGGGCCCCTCGAGTCAGAATCCAGTCGGTGCCCAACCAGCAGCCTTCACTTACCCCCCAAGAGTTGAAAGTGAGCACATAAGGGATCTTAGTTTTGAAGATGCATTGCCCTCTGTCTTCTTGTACGTCTTGACCACACCGAAGTCGAGGCTGTTGGGCACTTTCGAGTTGAGGGCTCGCAGTGCGCCTCGGCACCTTTGCAGATCTTGGCAGAGTTGGGGGCACGGAGTTTGAAACTCCACTGAATCAAAGATTCGGCTGGAAGGCTGTTCTGTGAATCGAGGTACGGAGCTGCTGTATGGGGCCTCTGGCCCAACACATTTTCGACTGAGGGTTGTGCTTACTGCGAAGTGAGCGAGTCTTCACAACTTCGCGGTAGGGTTTAGGGTTTAGGGTTTAGGGTTCAGGGTTTAGGGTTTAGGGTTTAGGGTTTAGGGTTTAGGGTTTAGGGGTTTACGGGTTTAGGGGTTTAGGGGTTTAGGGTCTTGAGACGAAGGGAGATTGTGCGCCTGCAGCTTCGTGCCTTATGCTGGCATGACGGCGCTGGCATGCCGGTGTTGTGAATGTTTCAATACGTGCTTCCAATCCCAGAGGCAATGGCTGGCGAAGTCCAATTCCAGCAGTTGTTGCCTTTCGGGCGCCTTCCCTCTCCTCAGGGGTCGGCCATGAAATTAACGAGGGCGAGCGATGCGCTCACCATCTAAGGTCAAAGCTTTGATAGTTCTAGGGTGCTGCTGCTGCATCCTTCTGCTGATGGTTTGCATCAGATTCTCGCGACAGAGCGCATCGCTCTACTTGATAACGACCGCGGGGCTGTGCCTCAAGAAGGTGCACGCATTTTCCGCATCTCACGGACCGCAGAACGTCAATTCACGTTCCCACAACACTGCATGAGGGCTCAGTGCATGAGGGCCCTTTGCAAGAAGTTCAAACAGTGTTCTGGTACTGAAGACACGCCCTGGCTTAGAGGCTTAGGCTTTTCGATGCTGTGGGGGACTCGCGGGCCATTGCCTTCTCGTGGGTATTCCGCCGCTGAAAGCAGGCGTGAGGCACGTTGCACTTTGCTGGCCTCCTACTCGTATGTGTCGACATGCCCCAACACATCCTCTCCCCATCCTGGCAGCGTCGGTCTCTTACCCTGTGCAGTTTAAGATGGGCCCGCAAGACCAAAAGAGCCCCTGCTGGGATAAGCATGCTCCCAGAAGGATGACATGGCGCGAGGGCAGTTGATTGTTTTCTGAGGCAGCACAGGATGATGCTCAATCTCCAGGCTAAATGCGGTACGGCCCGTGAGCCAGAGACGCAAACACAAAGCTCACACCCAGAGAGACGTCTTGCACCCGAACCCAAAGAAGCTAAATCTCAATCTCAGTCCTTAGTAGGGATCATACTCGGGGGTAGCCATAAGTCCCCCAGTAAGGACTCTTAAGGGGGAGAGCATTGAGTTGACCAGTGACGGGTGCCTGAGCACCCGAAAACGCTCCGGTGGCCATGGGCGTGCGGGGCCTGCTGAGCTATGTCCTGCGCCACGCCGACGCGATGACTCAGCGGGTCGACCTCGCCCAGGAGGCCCAGTATTATGGCCGCAACGGCTCCCTGGCCGCCATGGGGGGTCTACGAGCATAAGGGACCCCTATATTCTATTATATTATATTGTATTATATTATATTATAGTATATTCTATTATATTAAATTTTCCCCAAAGAGCAGGATCCCCTGATAACAAGAACCCCTAAGCAGACACTTTCTTGGACAGAGTGCCCAAGGTGTCACGCTGCTGGTGGATCTTCTTGACTTCTGTGCCTGGTTTCTTCCGGAGGTGGGGGGGGCAAGTGTGGAAAGCTCTAGCGGCGTGATGCGCGCTGATTTGCCAAGCCGCCTTCGCCTTGAACCCTAAACCCTAAACCCTAAACCCTAAACCCTAAACCCTAAACTTTAAACCCTAAACCCTAAACCCTTCTCACCCCACAGGTAGATCGTGCTGCCAAAGGCTGGGAAGGTGACGCCACCCTTCAGCTCCTCGGCAATGACCCAAAGGGGTCTTAGGTACCTACATCGTCGAAAGTAGGGTTCAGGGTTTAGGGGTTTAGGGGTTTAGGGGTTTAGGGGTTTAGGGTTTAGGGTTTAGGGTTTAGGGTTTAGGGTTGTAGGGTTTCTATACTTGGAGTTACCTATGATGGTTTGGGCAAGTGCCTCCCATGTAGGTACTTAGGACCCTTTGGGTGACTGTTCCGTCCTCCACACCCATCATGCCATTCCATCCTAGCCCCACGGTCGGCCCGACCTGGTTGTGAGCACCGCATTTGTCCGGTGCAGATGCAAACACATGACAATTCCTAGAATTCTTTTGTTTGGGTGACTCACGCGAGCACCCAACTCACGCGGCCTCGTGTGTTCCTTTGACAATTTTCTGAAGGTCCCATTTCTCCTTCAGAATCCGTCAGACCAAGGGTCTACGGCAGCGACTTCGTCCAGCACGACGAGGCGCTTTGCGAGCTGATCTTCGCCCTGCGCCACGCAGGCGAGTGGGTCACGTTTGCCTTCGGGTGTGGGAAGTGGAGCAAAGCCGGCAAGCCCGTTTCGGAGAGCCAACAAGACATCCATCCGTGAGCTTCGAGCATAATATCATGGGTATAAGATCATGACAGCATACTCACAAACGTACGAGAATAGTAATATCACAATAGCACAAGCATATTAAAGCGTAGTGATAAATATAAACAATCATATACGAATATACACAAGCAGAATCAAAGCATACTATACCAATGATGCCATGCGAAAAGGCGTCTACCTCGAGTTTTTCATGGATCCTCCCCGCGGCTGCGGGCTCCTCGATGCGGCCACCAGCACCTGGGTCGAGGAGGAGAGCGCCGCTTCCGGGGAGTTTCTTTTATGGTTTAGGCTTTAGGGTTTAGGGTTTAGCTGTCCGCGACAGGATTCCAGAGACCATGTCTCTTAGAGCATTTGTTTTTCATCCTTCTTGGTATGAGGCAGTTGCGGCTGCGGGTGCATCTGCATGCGTGCGCTTGAGCCAAGTTAGCGAAGCACTGACTGCCAGGCCAAGCGCCGCTGCTCTCAGGGCCTTGAGGCTGCGAAGGCGCACTGAGCGGTGAAGCAGGTTTAGGGTTTAGGGTTTAGGGTTTAGGGTTTAGGGTTTAGGGTTTCAGGGCAGATTTGGGTCTAAAGGGCTTCAGGAAGCCCTTCAACGGCAGTTGAGATTCAATAGCATTGGGCTTCGACCCATGCTTCCGTACTGCTGTTGCTGTGCCTGATATCTTTTGCTGAAATCAGTCGATTCGGCCTAAGAAGACTCAACTTGACATTGCTTGGGTGTCACTGCGAGGCTGTTCGACTGTGGTGCCGAGGAGAGCGAAACGATCTTCCGAACCTGGCAGAGGCGGCGGATGCTTCGGGGAGTTGTGGACAATCCTAAACCCTAACCCTAAACCCTAAACCCTAAACCCTAAACCCTAAACCTTAAACCCAGTCATCGTTCTACAGTCCCATGCCAATGCTGCCGTGCAGCACTCAAGGTAGCCAGGCCCGAAACAAGGCACTTCCGTTAGTCCCATGCCAATGCTGCCGTGCAGCACTCAAGGTAGCCAGGCCATAACCAGGCACATAGCCGCCCCAATGTGGCTCAGCAAAAGCTCCTGCTTCCGAGGTAAGAGGTTGAAGATGGAAGTAGTTATCATAAGTAGTTGAAGGTGTATAGTAGTTCTAAGCCCTAAAACCTAAACCCTAAACCCTAAACCCTAAACCCTAAACCAGTAGTTGAAGGTGTATCAGATCCTTGATCTGTCTTGACCTGTCGAGCCTGGCTCCCACAACTTAGCATCTTGCTAGGGCATCACACAGACATTTACGGACATGCAACTTGGTGTCACGTTGTTTGCTTCAACAAGATTCTAGACATGTGCGTGACGGGTCGCGGTCTGCATGCGTCTGCAGTACTGGCAACGCTATGCTGGCCGGAGATCTTACAAGCAGAGTGAGACATGAGAGGCATCGACATGGTTGTCGGAGTTGCAGGACACAGCAGCAAACGCACCACCAGCAGAGCACACAGCAGAGTTCATTGCCAAGCCAGTTTGCCGCACATGCGGCAGCGGCAGCAATGGAAGCTACCTTGTGCAGGGCTCAGTGCGTTTAGTTTTTTAAGGCTGAGGGAGAAGATTTGCTTGGCATACATGCAGCTCAGCTGAGGACGGTGTCGAAGCAGACCGCCGTGGGCCGTTTCCGTATCGATGGCTTCTCACTGCAGTGCTGGCATGTTGGTTGTCCCAGCCATACCGCGAACGAAGTGGCCATTAGGCTCATGGGTTACAACATGCCAGGCTGTCCCGGAAGAAGGGCGACCCAGTTACCTCGGGTCCAATCATTGAGGCGCGTGCTTTTGCAGGCCTTTGGGAAGTTCTGCTATAGCTCTGCGCAAGAATCTCTTGCGAGATTGGCGACTCGAAGTGGGAGATTCTGGTGTATCCTTCTGGCGCAGGTCTCAGTAGGTGGTTCCCGTCCGTTGCCAGTCCAAGTCGTGGCTGACTGTTGTTCGTGGTACCTCCGGGCGAGGGGTTATCTAGCCCACTGCTGAAGCCCGTCGATGTGGAAAGTTCCCCCCAAGGAAACGAGCGGTGCAAGGACGGCTGGATCCGTGTGTCGGTTCGATGCACGGAGGGTGAGCCTGGTAGCCCAGAGGATGACGAATCAGGGTTCAGGGTTTAGGGTTTAGGGTTTAGGGTTCAGGGTTCAGGGTTTAGGGCTAAACCCTAGAGCCCTAACCCCAAAACTGCTACGATGTCGCGTCCCAATTTTCAACTTGTAGCCCGAAGGCCCGAAGCCGCCGTCTCAGCAAGACCCGGGGGCGGGTTCTCCCAGAATAAGCGCAGCCTTTCGTGCAATATGGACTAAGGTATCTTTGAGTCGCTTCAGGGTACCGTTATATGGGAATTCAGGATCATACTTTGGCATTATTCTAGTAGAATATTAGCATATTGTGCTAGTAGTATACTGTCGTATGGATATCGTCTTATACCCTGTATTTTATAGTATTACTACTACCGCGTATTGGAACCCCACGCCCCGCTGAGTCGGGAGAATGTCTCTAAGGCGGGAGGTCCGCGCTCTGTACTCGGTGTCTGTGGTGAACGCAGTGGTCCTGGCAGCCTTGAACACTGAGTGCAGCCTTGAAGGGCTAGGCTTCAAAAACTACTGCAAGGGTTGGGCTTCAAAAGCTACTGCCTTCAAGGGGGCGGGGGCGGGGAGTTTCCGACTTTTGTTGAGAATCGCGGTTGAGCAGAACGTCAATGCCGTTTGCCTTCCTAAGTTATGAGGGCTCGGGCTGTAGCAATATAGTAGTCTCACACTACAATCATCTAAACATATACCACACACCAATATACGATCCGATAGTATACACATATCATGTCACATATCATATCACATGATGATATAATAGCAGTACAATGAAATCGCAATATGACAATATGACAGTATGACAATATGACAATATGACAATATGACAATATGACAATATGACAATATGACAATATGACAATATGACAGTATGACAAGCATGTCAACACGATATCATGTTAGTATGATAATACTGCAATCTGATGATATGAAAACATGACAATATGATCACGAGATGGTTCTGAGAACATGGAACTATGAGGATTTGATAATGTGCTAGTATGATAGTATGACAATATGACAATGTGACAATATGACAACATGACAACGTGACAATATGACAACATGACAATGTGACAATGTGACAATATGACAATATGAGAATATGAGAATATGACAATATGACAATATGACAATATGACAATATGACAATATGACAATATGAAATGTTCGTGGTATCACAAAATCGTACTATCATGAGATCATAATCTCAAAGTGTCATAGTACCACAATATCAGAATATCACAATGTCATAATATCAGAACATTATAGTATCGTAATATCAGAACATCATAATGCCATAGTGTCATAGTGTCATAACATCAGAATGTCATAATGCCATAATGTCAGAATGTCAGAACGTCTGAGTGTAATGACATAACATAGCATTGTAATGAAATCATCTAAGTTGATAATAAAACCATGTTCGGACCGGACATTTGCAAGCAGATATTGCCAGGCTGGCGAAGTGAAGCCGGGTTCCTGGAGTGGGTTTGTAGTCTTAGAGTCTGGTAACCCCATCCCCCCCCCCCCCCGCTGGATAGTACAGCATTTTAGGTTAGGTTGACTGTTTACAGCCGATAAAGCCTGCCCCGCCGAACTGTTTATAAACATGCCCTTGTTGGAAAGATTGCTGTGACGTGGCATCTTGCATCCTTGCAGGAGCTATCCCACGCCGTGTCATGTCATGACGTGATGATCTTTTTGTTGCTATGACGTGCGAACAGTGGGGCCCGAGTCTCGCTGCTATCATAGAGCAGAACGCTACCAATCCCGAACTGTCGAACGTGAAGCGCCTAAGATTCTAAATCCTAAACCCTAAACCCTAAGCCCTAAACCCTGAACCCTAAACCCTAAACCCTAAACCCTTTGAAAGTGCCAGCAACAAGCCCAAGGCACCGGCTGGAGGAAGAAGCCACCTTCACCAGCGGTGACGGCCTGCGTCTTAGAGGGTTGCTATTTCAGGCTTTAGGGTTCAGGGTTTAGGGTTTAGGGTTCAGGGTTCAGGGTTTAGGGTTTAGGGTTTAGGGTTTAGGGTCTGGGAGGAAGGAGGGACGAACGATTGTGTAGACAGCAGGGGGTGTAGGTCTGAGTAGTGCATGGGGCAGTTCTGTGAGATTAGTTGATGCTTTCAGCTTTTTTCAGATGGCTCCACTCAAGCGTGAGCTGTAATTCGTTCCCCTGAATGACTGCAGTGGCTACAGGCTGGGGCTTTGACAACTTCATCCGCCAAGAGCGCCTGTGCGCGTCTGAGTTGGAATGAGCGGGTTTGTCGGAGGAGCTTTGCTCCGGCAAGTGCTTGGACTGCTCTGGGAACTTGGTCCGGGCCTGCACTGCACCTTCTCGGGATGGGCTGTCAGGCCTGAGAATCCCCATAACCCTCTAAAGGGCCTTTTCAAGGGGTTCTAGGGTACAATAGCCCCCATAAAGGGCCTTTTTAAGGGGTTAATAGGGTATAGTAGCCTTTTCAAGGGGTTCTAGGGTACACTAGCCCCCATAAAGGGCCTTTTCAAGGGGTTAATAGGGTGTAATAGCGCCTCTTAAGGGCCTTTTTAAGGGGTTGATAGGGTACAATAGCCCCTATAAAGGGCCTTCTTAAGGGGTTCATAGGGTATGACCCTAAACCCTAAACCCTAAACCCTAAACCCTAAATGCTACACCCTTCTGGTGGCATCTGGGGGCCTCCTGCCCGTCCTGGTCAGGACGGATCGAACCAAAGGCTTCGCCGACGACGTCGTCATCTTCGAGGCGACAGTCACGGTCCTGGGCCAGGAGGCCACCAGATGCTGCCAGAAGGGTTTAGGGTTTAGGGTTCAAGGTTTAGGGTTTAGGGTTTGGGGTTTGGGGTTTAGGGTTTAGGGTTTAGGAAGCCACAAAGCCGCAAGAGATTTGGAGACCTTTCCCGCAGGAAATCCGGCGGCAGCCGATCACTGGAAGCGAGTGCAAGAGCATCCACTCGGAGGAGTTGGCAGCTGACCTGAAGGCGAGAGGTACCCTTGGCCAGCTGAACCCATGGTATTTTACTAGTATGTTGTAGTTGCAGTATACTAGTGTATGAATATAGACTTCTGCTTTTATGTGAACATAGTATACTCTCCAGACTCTGCTTGGAGGCTCTGTGGGAATCGGGTCAGCATGCAGCCCGACCCCGAGCTCAACTGTAGGGCAGAAATTCAGAATGTCTCAGGGCAGCGCGGCTGCAAGCTTTAAGAGCTTGGAATCAAGAATTCAGGGAAGTGCCTGGCAGATGCAGAGGAATCTTTGTTGAGTTGCGCCTGTATTTCAGGCCTCAGGACATTATGCGTGTGGCTTCCGAAGCCCGGGGTAATGGAATGAGGGGCTTCGTTGAGCTTGTTTGCAGTTAAGCATTCTGTTGAAGCACAGCCGTCAGCAGCAATGACTACTCCCTTTGCAAGGACCTGACCCTGCAAGTCGGCGAGACTCAGCACTTCCGGCTTTCCTTAGCCTTGGCTTCCGAAACCTCCCCAGAGCCCCACAGACCCATCGAGGGCCTCCGGGGAGTTCTTCTGAGCACTCCGACGCCGCCCTCAGCAAACGCGAGCCCTCTTCCGTGCCAGGCTGCAGGTACATGGCCTGATCCTGGCTGCAAGGCCTTGGCCCCCCCTTCCCCTCGTCCCACACCGAAGGAGTCGAAGACTTGGGGCAGCAAGGGATAAGTGGAAGTCTTTTCTTACGGAATATTTCGAAGAGTTGCAGACACCCCTGTGGCCTGGCAGGTCCGCGGTTTTCTCGCGCATGCTGGCCTCTGACATGTCGGAGGCCTGCCCACTGGGTTAACCTGCCCTGCGTGTATCCTCCATGTACACTTCGGATCACGGAGGTGCATGGCGGTTCAATTCCTACTATGAGAAGCTAAGTTTGCTGATGTGCAAACCTCTCTTCGCATGCGACGCTGAAAGTGCAAGCCCGTTCAGCCCTCCACCCCCCCCCCCCCCGCCCTCCCCCCCAACCCTTGCTTGCCTCCACCCGCCCCCATACCCAAATTTGCAATTCACTCTGCGGCTGCGAAGGTGTCTCAGAAATAAGTCTTACCAGTCAGTACCCCTCCTGCGCAGTCCTTGCACGCAGTTCCGTACATCCTTCTGCTGAGCAGGCAAAGTCGCGAGTCATCAGGATAGTGGACGCGACGAACTCAGGGCACTCTGTTGCTGAAGAGTTTGCCTTTCAACTGGTTATTGTGGTCAATTTTGTTATAGGGGAATCCTACTGTTTGGGGTCTACGCTAAGGGTCTCTTGTTCTCGTAAACTCCCTTGTGTGCCAAGGCGGATGCAGAGACTATGCGCTGTCTCTGTGAGTACATGTATACAGGCCTACCGGTGCATGGAGAGAGGACACAATTGGCCGACATTTTTTTACATCGCCAGGCACCGTGCGGAACAACCGCCCATTTGAGAATGCAGACTTAGCTGGATCATTGTTGCAGGCGCATGGTTCCCGGGACAGACATGTTGAAACGTTACCTGTCGGCTCGTCTTGAAGTACTTGCAAGAGTGAAGTTGCTAGCTGCGGCAGGCAGCAGCCAAATACGAGGCATGGCCAAAAACATGAGGCAAATCGCTGCATCACCTGTCGTGCCTGCACAGGTTCATGGGCTGGTCCGGTGGTGTTCCGCCAAGGCGCACCGGTATCTGAGGGCTGCATGCCTCGGAATTAGACTTAGACCTAGCCCGTCAACCTCAAACTTCAAATCGCCAACGCTGCAACTGAAGCTCTCATGTCGAACTGGTCCAGTGCTCGCAGATAGCCGCAACTTTGGGCGTCGACACGGCAGCAGAGTGGCTCGTCCTCGCGTCGCAGATTGGACCGCAGGACTGGGGCTCAGGTTATTCCAGATGGAAGTCAGACTGTTCCGTTCGAGCGTATAGCTGAGCGGTGTCACGCCAGGCGGATGCCTTGAAGAACAAGAGCCCTTGGCTGCACTACTGCGGTGGGAGTGCATGTTGTGAATGTGGGGGTTTACGAAAATAGACCCCAAATAGGATCCCCAAATAATAAGGACCCCAATAAGGTACCCCTGATTTCGGAAACCCCTAAACCCCTAGACCCCTAAACCCCTAAACCCCTAAGCCCCTAAACCCCTAAACCACTAAACCCCTAAACCCCTAAACCCCTAAACCCCTGAACCCCTAAACCCCTAAACCCCTAAACACTGAACCACCAAACCATAAACCCTAAACCCCAAACCCTAAACCCTAAACCATTTTATAGGGGGCGGCCGTGTCTTGACCTGTCCTAAGGTGCGTTCACCTGGCGGCCAGCAATCTCTCCGAGGTTCAGGCACCCTCCGTGACAGGGTGGAGCTTTCGTTTTCGTCGCCGAAACCCTAGACCCTAAACCCTAAATCCTAAGCCCTAAGCCTTAAACCCTAAACCTTAAACCCTAAACCCAGCTAGATTGCTGGCTAAGGCGCTTGGTGTCAAATGCTCAGGTGACCGAGGGCTGGCAAAGATTCATGAAGAATCCCCGCGCCATGCGCCTAATGTGCCAGAACATGCCAATATGTATGTTGTAAGATGCATAATCAGATCTATATCAATATATGCATGTATATATATATATGTATATTTAATTAATTATTTATTTATTTATGTATTTTTCTATATATATATATATATATATATTTATTTATTTATTCATATTTAACATGTTAATGTTGTAGATAGTACTATACACTACGTTTCAGACGTTTCACTTGGACGTCGCCCAGGTAGTGTCGGAGGTGGCGCCCCTGCTGTTTCAGGCAACGTGCAATGATGGCCGCACAGAGCTTGCGAAGGGAACTCACCCTCAACCCTCAACCCTCAACCCTCAACCCTCAACCCTCAACCCTCAACCCTCAACCCTCAACCCTCAACCCTCAACCCTCAACCCTCAACCCTCAACCGGTGGGTTCAGGCCATCAGTCCTCCACCTGGCAAGAAGAGGCGGCGTGCTTGCCTGGGCCCCTGGGCAATGTGAGCAATTCCACTTTAGCTTGGTGCAGTCTGACCCTTATGCCTCTAAGGCGAGAAGCTGAGCTGATGGCGGAATTTCTGCCCTTGAAGAGACTTACTCTTCTTAGGCGTGGTGCCTGCTAGTTACATGCGAGTCACCTGCGAGCCTAGATTCACTTCCGGACTTTTTGTCTGGACAGCAAAGGGTATGTGCAGAGGCCAATTCGCAGGGCAAAGTGCCCTCAATGCCTGTTAATCTCCCAGACGGCTGGACCAGCAAGCAATGCTGCCGGAGCCGGCGTGTCGGTAACGAAAATGCACCGGGAAAGGGCTTTGAAAGCCCCTACTGGGATGTTGTCTAGCTTTCGCAGGAAAGAAAGGATGGGCATGCCTCTCTGTCCCTAAACCCTAAACCCTAAACCCTAAACCCTAAACTGTGTTCTTCACGCGCAGTCTGCAGAAGGAACAGGAAAGTTCTGCGGAATTCTTCGGTGAAGGTTCGATGCATCCAAGTAGCCAAATATAAAACTCAAAGGATCCCAGCCAAAGGCCTGTAACCTGCCACGTTCAATATGGTGGCTTCCGAAACTGGGGTACCTTATCGGGGTCCTTATTATTGGGTATAAGGGAATCCTGCTATTTGGGGTCGATTTTAGGGGTCCACAATTCTTGCAAAAAGGCCCATATCTTGATGCATCCAAACGATTTCAGTTGTCAGCCCCAAATTTCCCGACGCTGCAGTCAGTTCTGGTGCAGGCGCGCTGCCTTGCGACGCTCTTCTACGAGCAGGAGCGGGCTTCTTTAGAGTTTGCATGTAATTTGCTTGTAGGTTACCTGGTTCGTAGGATGTAATGTTCAAAATCGCTGGCGTCCTGAACGCAAACGCAGAAACGGGCACCTCCAGTGTTGGCAGATGGATACATCGATCTTGCTTGTCTAGAGGTGCTTTGAATTTTTCATGCCCGAATTGCATACTCGACCCTGAGAGCTGTTGAGCTTCTTCGGCTGTCAGGTTGTTGCTACGCTGACGCGGTGTGGCTGTCAGGTGTGGCTGTTTGCAATTTCTCGTTGTGCCTTTGTGCTTCGGAGGGCTCTCATAATTAGCCGGCCATGTAGCTGTTGCCGTTTTCCACAGTATCACGGCGACTTGCAGAAGCGGTCCAGCTATAAAAAAATTGACGCTGGGAAAGGTGTGGCACTTGAATGCAGACGAGCAATCTCCGTTGCTCCCGACAAGGCAAAGGTTGAGATCCAGGGTATCATTATTATTCGTATTCTTCTTCTGCTTCTTTTTGTAGAATCTGACTCTCCCATGCAAAGCTCAGAGCGCAGCAGAGCTTGTACATGCTTTGACGTGTGCGCAGGCGTGGCTCTGAATGGTCACATGTCTGGGGCATCGCATGGGCCCTAAGTCTGGAGGATGAACAGCGAGAGGGTTTAGGGTTTAGGGTTTAGGGTTTAGGGTTTAGGGTTTAGGGTTGAGGCTTCTCTGCAAAGGCAGCCGATGCTTCTCGACAACAGAACGCTCAAGCCGCTCAAGGTCTCAGACAACGTCGACTGGGCTGTATGCCAAGGGGTCAAGCTGATCCCACTCCAGCCGGCAGCTGAGCCATGCCTGTATCAAGACCGATAAGACCAGCAACAATGCTGAGCAGAAACTGACAATCATAGCAAGAATGACACCAATAACAAGACTAATAATAATCGTAGTAGTAATAGTGACAACAATAACAATACCAATAATTATAGTAGAAATAAATGATAATCATAAGAATAATAAGAATAGTAGGAATAATATGAATATTAAGAATATTATGAAAATCATAATAATCATAATAATAATCATAATAATAGTAATAATAATAAGAAGAAGAATAATAATGATTGTAAACGCTTGCGGGCGCCGCCTCGGCAGCCGGGCGGGCCCCAGGACAGGAAAGGAGGAAAGAGGGTTTCTGGGGGGTGGTGGGGGGGGGTGGGGGCGCTCCCTCTGTCCAAGGCATCAGTTTGCAGCTCCTCCAAGCGATGGGGGGGGGTTCCCACAGGGCGGGGGGCTCCCCACAAAATTTTGCGTTGGGGGGAAGGGTTGGGTTAGGGGGAAGGAGGCCCGATCCGGGTCTGCTTGCTCCGAACGCTTCTCGGCAGGAAGCCGAGGCGAATAATAATAGTAATCACAATAATAATAACAATCATAGTAATAATAATAATACTAATAATAATAATAATAATAATAGTGAAGCAGTGGGCAGCCGGGGCTGCCATCTTCAGGTTTTTCGACTTGGACGGCGTCGTTAAACCCAAGTACATGGACGGGAACCTGTGCTTTTGCTGACGCTGGCACCTCTTTAGGGTTTAGGGTTTAGGGTTTAGGGTTTCGGGTAGTTGAGCACAAGACTCACTGCGCAGGATGGAGGAGGAATTGGCTGGCCGGAGGTTGATAGCTGGAGCCTCAGGATGTTCCCTCTCTTGTGTCCCCTGCTGCCAGAGTAGCCGCCAACGCAGAGTTCGTGTCAGGGGCAGTTCCCGAGCTGAGGTTTCAGCGTTGCGTACACGTCCGCCGATGTCATTGCGGAGTACCTCAGGCGCGCGGGTGGGGGCCCTCTGGCAAGCCCTAATTAACCCTAAACCCCTAAGCCCTAAACCCTAAACCCTTAACCCCTAACCCCTAAACCCTAAACCCTTAACCCCTAACCCCTAACCCCTAACCCCTAACCCCTAACCCCTAAACCCTAAACCCTAAACCCTAAAACCTAAAACCTAAAACCCCTAAACCTCCCAGGGTCGCACATGCGCCCTCCTGGGAAGGCTTGGCCATCCTCCCAAGGAGGAAGATTTGAAGGCTCTCTCTGCGTCTGTGTGCATCTCGTGCATCTTGGGACTGCCCTCGGGTTTAGGGTTTAGGGTTTAGGGTTTTGGGCTTAGGGTTTAGGGTTAGGGAACCAAAAACGAAAGCCTGTCAGCCTAGCCGAATGCAAGTCGAATGTGCCAAAAGGAGGGCCTATGCAATGTTTGGCTTGTTTCTGGGTTTACTCGGTTAGGTCAGGGCCAGTTTAATTGGGTTTAACTAGGAAGAAGGGAAGAACGGAAGCAAGGACGAAAGGAAGAACAGACGAAAGGAAGAAAGAAGGAAAGGACGAGGAAAACCGCAATAATAAAGGGAAAAACGAACGAAACCGAAGGACGGAGGCGAAGAAAGGAAAGAACCCAGGAGAGGAGAGCAAGGTGAGAAAGGATAGGAGAGGAGAGGAAGGAGAGCAAGGTGAGGAAAAACACATGAAATCACCTTGCTCCCAAGAAGACAGAGCTGTCCAATTCCTTACCAGACGTGAGCGAGCTGTAATCAGAACGTATTTGTCCTGACAGTTGAGATTTGAGCGATGGCAAAGCCGCAGCGCGTGCAAACCGACCCTGAGCCGAAAGCAGCCGCTCTCGAATTCCAGACCCAAACGAGCGCGCCTTTCCGAAGCGAGATCGAGGGCGCTGTCTTGTTCCTAGGGCCCGGAGTCTACTTAGCCTCACCCACGTAAATACACCGAAGGACAGAAGTGCTCGCACAAGTCGAAAGGCTGGAAAGCAGCGGCGAGCAGACAAAGACATCAGTCCCAAACAAGTTGCAAGTGCATGGTGTTGAGGCGCATTTTCTTGCAGAGTTCAGGCTGCTCCCAACCCGAAGTCTCTAACTACCGCAGATTTCGCCTGCGAACAGAGCACCCTGAAGCCGCCAGGAGTATGCAAGCAAGGGCCCAGAGCTGAGATTGCGCGGCTTTGTTTTCGCACGTTCGAAATTATCCGCGGATCGAGGGTTGCCCTAAACCCTGAACCCTGAACCCTAAACCCTAAACCCTAAACCCTAAACCCTAAACCCGAGGCAAATCCAAGGGAAGCTTTGGCCGCAGAGGATGGCCAATCAAGTGGTGGCATGAGTCGGCAGGGTCCTCAGAGATTTTTGCCAATTTGTTGCTCAGTGGGGTGTCACCCTAAACCCTAAACCCTAAACCCTAAACCCTAAACCCTAAACCCTAAACCCTAAACCCTAAACCCTAAACCCTAAACCCTAAACCCTAAACCCTAAACCCTAAACACTAAACCCTAAACCCTAAACTCTAAACCCCAGACCCTAAAACCTAAACCCTAAACCTTAAACCGCAAACCCTGAACCCATTTTTTTGACCCAGAGTTGTGATTTCTATCTATGGCTCTCTTCAAGACGCAGTTTGTACTAGGGTGCTGCACGGGTGCCGCCGGGCACATAAGCCTCGATCTTGAGGTAGCAGCATGTTGCAGTGGCATTGGAGATGGAAGTTAGAGATGAGCAGTCGCTCTTCCCTCCTAGGGGCTTGACCAAAAAGGGTTCACAGGCATCCACAACGTAAGTGCATTCAGATGTGGTGTCATGGATTGTCTTGACATGCCGCCTTGGCAGTTGGATGGTTTTGGATCTTCGAAGATGCGAAAGCAATCGAACGCGTCGAATGAAAGACGGGCCTTTTTTGTTGTCAGTGTTCGATTGCAGTACTGGCTTGAGAACGACTTCATTGCTGCCGTGAGTCCGAATGCGGGCCAGTGCAACGCTTCTTTTGTTTTTCCAATGTGGGCGTGGAAACACTGACCCGACATCACAGATCACAAGGCGGCGACAGCATGTGGCAAAGGCACACTTCAGAAACAAAAGCGATCTGCAGCATCCAGAACGGCAACCCGATGCGCTCATAAGCACAAACATTCCATACCGACCTCATGCTAGTACATGTCCCGGGGCAGATGAAGATAGCCCCTTGGTTTGTTTCACCTTCCGATGACAGCACAGGTCCTGATTGAGCTCTCACTGCTCCTGGGCACTGATGCAACCACCGCTTTCATCCAGGAGCGGCCGCATGATGGGTATGATGTCACGAAAGACAATCTTGTCTGCGGGTCCCTCCCTCCCTCCCTCCCTCCCTCCCTCCCTCCCTTCCTCTCTCATGTTGCACGGTGTTAGTCAGGGTTCCAGATTTGGGAAGGTTTGTGGAGGTTGGAATGGCCATGAATAGGTTGGCGTGACATGGAGCGCAGAGGTCTCAGGAACCTGCTGCAAGCTCCATCAATGCTGGTTCTTCCTAGGTCTAAGCTGGTTCTCCCCCCTCCCCCCAACCCCCCACACGAAAATGAAGGTCACAATGCGCATCTCGACTGTGTCTTCTGTGCAACTTCCTGCCAGAAACACAAGCTCTACCAGCAGATTGGCCTCCGAATGGGTCAGGCAGTCGCAGCGGGGGCCGTTCCGAGTGAGGGGGCTCCCTGACATCCTAGGGCTCAGAGGGCTTGTGCAAGCCCTGAGGATTCGATTCGATGATCTCTTGTATATCTCATGTGGCCAAAACATACTAATATTCTAGAAAATGTATAATCTACAACAACATGTTCAATACTATTCTTGCAGGTCATACATGTTCAATCTTTGTTAGGTTTCAAGTTGTTTCTTGCGGGTGACTGCCAGGATCCCATTGAGTCCATCACCAAGTGGTTCCGAGACCAGCTGCTGGGCCGTTCATCAAGGGGGGGGGGGGGGGGGGGGGAGGGCCTTTATGAGAGGGGGGTTCAGGAATGTGGGATGGTTTGATGAAGTTTGTGTATATATACACACATATATATGTGTATGTGTATGTAAACGATGTATATACACATGTATATGTGCCGGAAGACTTGGAGACACCTGGAGGCTGTACACTCGGAAGCTGCGCTGGAGGGATGTGTACCTGGAGGTGCACAGTCTTTGCATGGCAGCTCTGCCTACAGTTCTGCAGTGCTCTTAGATCAGCAGACAGGATGCCTAATCTGCCCCACCTGCAGAGGGATCGACACCGTTCAATGCCAATCTCTCGTTGTCCAGGAGGGTTAAGTCGCATGTAGGTTTTTTTTTGCGTTGAAAACCCCTTAAACCACAACTGGCTTTTTTTAACGTGAAACAACCCTAAGTAGCAGCTTGAGCCTTTAGCTGCCACTGTGTTAGGCACTGTCGCCTGTGTTGGCCGACCTGGCGGAGAAGGATGCCTTGGCGCAGAATATCTCAAGACACCCCACACCACTAACCCTAAACCCTACACCGCCACTGGCCTTCAAACGGATCCGAAACGGCCAGGCTGAGCAAAAGCCCCCCCCCACCCCCCATCCTCTTTCACCTCCCAAACCTTATTTGAAAAGAGAAACGAGTCCATCAGGGTCCATTCCTGGCCCAGCACAGGGCGTCGGCCAATATGTCTCAGAGCCACATCTAGGCCCTCTAGCTTCCAACCTGTGCGAATGGGAGCAGCATGTGGTAGGTGCAAGGCCGTACGAGCAATGATGAAGCTGCCAACTCTCCTTAGAAGAGTCTCCAACTTCACACTTTAGAAGCATGCCCAAGCTCCAAAGCCAAAAACTTGGGCCCCCACCCTGAACCCGTACGAAATGACCCTGAAAGCCATGCGGGGATTTCCGATAAAAACAGGGGGTACCCTTTTTTAGGGGTCCCTTGGTCTTTCCCCAAATGGGGGTACCCTTAATATACTCTAAAATAGGTATAATCCTTCTCATAGGAACCCCCAAAAAGGTACCCCTATTGTCGGAACCTCCCAATGTACCCCTGAAAAATGCGCCAGCATTCACGCACACCCCCCCCCCCCCCCCCGGCCATGGTCAACCCCCCCTCCCCCCCTGTTGCTCATAGTGGGTTTTGGGTTCCTCCCCCCCACCCCCCCCTTTGGTTCATGGTCTGTGGTTCATGGGTTTAGGGTTTAGGGTCCATTGGTTCATTGGTTCGCTGGTTCGCGGTGGGCTTAGAGTTTAGGGTTCAAGGTTTGGGGTCTAGGTTTACGGTTTCCCCTCTCCCCCCGTGGTTCGTGCTGGGTTTACGGTTCACGGTTAAAGCGGTTAAGGTTTCGGGTTTACCCTCTTCCCCCCTGTGGTTCATTGGTGGGTTTTGGTTTTAGTTAGGGTTCAGGGTTTGGGGTTTAGGTTGAATTTTTCTCTCATCCCCCCTGTGCTCCGTTGTGTTTTAGGGTCAACGGGCAGGGTTTGGGAGGGGGATACCATGGGGGGAGATACCATTGGGGGGGGGGGGGGGGGGGTGGTCAATTACGCGGAACGCGGGCGCACATAGACCTCCAAGTAGTAGGATCCCCCTAGAAGCCTGAATCAAAGCACCCTTGATATCGTCAGCCCCTAAGTCGCCGAACCCCTAAACCCTAAACCCTAAACCCTAAACCCTAAACCCTAAACCCTAAACCCTGAACCCTAAACCCTAAACCCCAAACCCTATAAACCTAAATTAGCACGGGTGAATGAGGACGCCGACTTCGGGCTGGCGCTGCAGTTCGCACGCAAGGCCGGAGCCTGTGAGAGGCCTCCAGGCCGTGCTCTCACCCCCCCCCACCTTTGGGGTTTAGGGTTTAGGGTTTTAGGGTTTGGGCTTTTAGGGTTTAGGGTGTTTAGGGTTTAGGGCTTTTAGGGTTAGGGTGGTTTTCGGACGTGTCGTAGTCATGAGACCGGTTTCGGGAGAGTTGAACACAAACCAGCCACCCTCGGCCTGGGGTTGTTAGATTTTAAACCAAACTCTTCTCCTCGCCCAGTGCCCAACCCAGAGCCCCAGAGTATCCCTAAAGAACACCTGGAGTGCCCAGCCCCAAGAGCATCCCCAGTCCGCAGAGTGTCCTAGAGTGACCATCCCAGAGTGAGCTCGCAAGGTAGGGGGGGTGGGAGTGGGGGCGGGCATCAGCTCCGACAACCGTGTTGGCATGCTGTCGTCAACGTGTGAAGGGCTATGGTCAAATGCTATAGCAGTGGAGTGTAGGTTTCAGGATTAAGGGCAGTATCTCTCATGCCATGAGTGCAGGGCCACATTCTAAGCACACAGCAAGCTGTAGACTCTAGTGTGCTCAGCTCAACGCCACCTCTGCAGGTGTATGAGCAGGATGCTCGTTCCCTGAAAGCTGCGCGAAGCCAAGAGAAGCTGGTCCAGTCTGCATTGCTAGCATTCGAAGCCTTGGCATCCAGAGGTTGTTGCGAACCTGGAGCGCCAACGGCGGCAGAACGGCGAGAAGGCCGTCACTGTTGTCCAGAGAATCTCCATCCGCCAAGTGTCAGCAGCTTCGGATCCCGTAGAACTGTGACAGAACGGTTGTTGCAGAAGTGCCGACCTCTCAGCTCTGAGGGCATGTGCATCCCTTCGGCAGACATCAGGCCGTGGCAATCGACTCATCGCTTCACCAGGCAGGTTTTTGTTGTTGTTTTCTTGGTTGTTTTTTTTTCCCATCGGGCTTATCAGTGCATCTCGGCATCGTCTGCTTGGATGTTGTCAACGGGACCCTGAAATCCCTGGAGGAAAAGGCATCAGAAGAAGGGCTCAGACTTCAGCTGAGAAATGGAGGGTTTAGGGTTTTGGGGTTTTAGGGTTTTAGGGTTTTAGGCTTTCAGAGTTTTGGGGTATAGGCGGTTTAGGGTTTGGGGAGTTGCCGGTGTCAGGTTTGTGGCGATAGGCTCCACGCCCTGAATTCGGAATACGTTCACCCCCGGAGCCCTAAGCCCATCCTGGGTGGAGGCGGCGGAGCTTCGGGTTTGGGATTGAGGGTTAAAGTTTAGGGTGCACCTCCGGAAATCCAGGATCCGGCTCCTTAGATGCATGAGGGGAGAAGCCCCTAAACCCTCAACCCTAAACCCTAAACCCTCAAGCCTAAACCCTACACCTTAAACCCTAAAGCCTACACCCTAAACCCTACACCCTAAACCCTAAACCCGAAACCCTAAACCCACCAGGCCAACCAGGAGCGAAACAAGGAGCTCCCCGTGGCTTCCAGCCTCCTCCTGCGCTCCGCAGCACTGGCGGACAAGGCCCCTGGAGCCTAAATCCTGAACCCTAAACCCTAAACTCTTAAACTCTTAAACTCTTAAACTCTTAAACTCTTAAACTCTTAAACTCTTAAACTCTTAAACTCTTAAACTCTTAAACTCTTAAACTCTTAAACTCTAAACCCCAAACCCTCATCCGCCTAAACCCTAAACCCTAATCCCTAAAGGCCCCAAAGGCCCTAAAGGCCCCAAAGGCCCCAAAAGGCCCCAAAAGGCCCCAAAAAGGCCCTAAAGGACCCTAAAGGACCCGAAATGGTGCCATCATCATACTGAAGCATACTGAAGCCAACGGCTGTTCCGCCTCGCTCGCGGCCAGCACCTCAACTTGAGGCATCAGCTGAGCGTGTGTGTCGCAGAACCAAAGCTCTCAGACCTGAGCCCCGGGGCATGATGGTCCAAAGGGTTGCATAGGGGAAGCGCCGACAGCACAGTGCTGTAATGAAGCACACAGCAGTGGAAGTTAACGCTCTTAACAAAGGCTCAGAGGCTACAAGGAAACCCCTGAGACCACAGGCTTCACAGAGTACCTGCAGGTGTGGCTGGACGTGCGACTCGAGGATGTGTCGCGCATGGGCGCGCCGGTGTCCACTCAGGCGCAGAATGTGTGAGAAGCAGTGTGGTCATGAACAGCCTTCCGTGTTTCTGCCCTGTGGCGCAGTTGTTCTCCGACCTGCGTCGTGTCCTCTACCAACTTCTTGGGAGGATGGGCCCGTGGAGAGTCCGTGAGAAGGGTTTGTCGGTGGATGGGGTAGGATTCACACAGGGCTGGTCCTGGCGGACGTATGAGACTGTCACTCGAACTTGAAATCTTCGGGTTTTCTGACTTGGACTACGGTATCTTGGGGTTGTAGCTTCTTTTTCCTGCAAGCACGCGGGAGTGGAAAAGGAACCTGCGCGGATAGAGAAACTGTACGAGCCATGCCTGACCCAGAACCAGGCTTCTATCCCCGTTATCAGAGACATTGACGCCCGATTCCAAAACATGAGATTCAAAAACACGTAGCTGTCGCGGTTCAGATACCATCCTGGAGCTAGATACCGTAGTTGCGGGGTGTTCCCAAGCATGATCAGCGAATCAGGGCTTCCGAATTCGGGTTATTTTCCGAATGTGTTTCTGGATCGGCGCGTGTGTAACCCTAAACCCTAAACCCTAAACCCTAAACCCTAAACCCTAAACCCTAAACCCTAAACCCTAAACCCTAAACCCTAAACCCTAGGCCCTAAACCCTAAACCCGAAACCCTAAACCCCAAACCCTAAACCCTAAACCGTGAAGGGAATCCATCACCGAGACAAAGGGAGACCATACTGGGGCCGGTCGCCCAGCGTTGAGCTCGCCACCGACGAGCTGAAACAGAAGATGGGGGAAGGTCGTTCGCGCAGACAGATTTCGTAAGAACATGCGAAACCGTACTATGCTGTATCATACTTTGCGAAATATACCATACCATGCTAGGATATACTGTACTGGAACTTCTGGCCACCATCCCGAGCTTCAGGTCACGGCCAGCAAGATGGTCCTGGCGGATGCAGGATCGCTTCCAGACGCCAAGGACGCCGCCAGTTTTTTTTGTGCACTCGACTACCTGCCTGCTCGCTCAATTTTTGTGCAGTGTGTGCACTGCAAAGTTGGTGCAAAATGCCTGATAGAGCATTGAGTGCAGGGCTGGAGCTTAGGCTGACTGAGTGACTGGACATGCTCCGCTTTGCGCACAGGCTGTTCAAAGGTGGACATGGTCGCATCGATGGCAGATGCTGCCAGCTCAGATGCCATGACCAGAGTCTAGGTGTCCAGGACCCCAGGAGTTTCGATGTCTGGGAGTCTTGTCAGGAACTTGATATCTACTAATGATTGACGCCAGGTTCCGTGCAATTATCGAGCACAACCTCGTCCACGCCGCTGGGCCGCAGACGCTGCTCTCCTGTCTCAGAAGTGGAAGCCGATGCAGCAGGCCAAGCGCAAGAACGAGAAGAACGAGAAGGGCGAGAAGATCCACCCAACGCCAGAAGGGGGCGAGTCCGTCGCACCCTTAAGTGCCTTGGCCCCCCATTCCGTGGGCCCGAGTCGTTTTGGCAGCATGAGGCATTCACCCCCGTTCCGGCCCTTTGTGCGCTGGTTTGGATGCCTTCGCTCTCTACAACAGACCAGCAGCATGCCCCTCGGCCACCCTCAGGCTGAACCTGTGGAGCTGGTGGTGCACCGAACCTTTAAGGCCACATCGCTGTAGAGGTGGATTCAGTCGATTAAGTTGTCAAGGTTTCAAAAGTACCAACAAGGGAGGCATAGATGGGGTCACGAGGTATTTCCCTCAGCGTTTGCCCAAGCCAAGCAGTATGGATGGCCCGCTGTGCAGGATTAGACGTTTCACCCCGGCCAGACATGTGTCTGCCAAAGCGATCGATGATGTTTTAAGCCTGTAGTCCCCCAACCCTAGACTGCAGTTGAATCCTCACTGAGCAACGTTCCCGCAGGAGCACCAAAGCGACGAAGCCGTTCCTGACTGGGCCCACGGGTCCTTCGCGGCCATCGCATGGATCCCAGAGCTCTACTATATTCTGCAAGGAGGTGAGACCAAGATTTCACGAGTTGAGTTCTTATCATTTTCATCTGCGCGACGTGCGGACAGGGTTTGGCAGAAGCATCATTTGATCAGGTCTTGGAGTATGTGGCATCCCTCAACCAGAGGCCAGATGTGTTAACCTCCGGGTTGCCGTGATTGCTGTGGTCTTCAACGTCTGTATGCCTATCTTCCACAACATGCGCAGCCAGGCTGTTGTCTTGCCCCCTCAAGAGTTTTGCAAATGTAGAAATCTCTAGGCCCCAATTCGGCCCTAAGTCCTCAACCCTAAACCCCTCAAGGAGTCCTCAAGTCCTGAGCACCCTGTGCCGCAGCATGTATCTGTCCGCAACAAGCCTCACATGGTGCAACGTGGGTACGGAGGCCAGAACAGCCCATGATCCGGGAACACGAGTTTGACACACTGGCCGCCACCCTCGCAATGGGCTCAGCCGCCGAGGACATGCGGTTTAGGGTTTAGGGTTGAGGGTTTGGGGTTTAGGGTTGGGTTGAGGGTTTCGGGTTTCGGGTTTCGGGTTTAGGAGTTTAGGGTTTAGGTTTTTTTTGTTTAGGGTGGGGTCTCATCAACAACCTTGTGACACTACACCTCTTCTCGCAACCTGCTCGTCTGACACGCTGCTCAAGAAAGTGGCCGGGCCTAAGGAGAACGTCCCTGTCATGCTGTGTCATAAACTCGGGCAGATGAACAGCGAGCATTGCAAAGTAGCCTTTTCAGCCATGTAGCCGGGTGTCTCGATCTGCAAGAGCCAAGAAAGCAAAGGTTTGTTCCCCTCCTCACCCCCTCCCCCTACCCCACACAATCACGACAGACTTAGCCTCATGGGTGGCTAGATCAGATGGGCGACCAACGATGCTATAACTGTAATGGTTATGGCCCAAGCGAAGCAGCAGAGGAAAGCTGAATTCGAAGCTCGTGAACGTGAGGTGAAGCAAAGGTGTTTAGTTGCGAACAGCCAACAGCTTGTTGCTTGCATCGTCATGTGTTGCCATGGGGTGTAAGACCGGTTGCCCACACATGACACTCTTCAACTCAGCATGAAGGGGTTTTCAAAAATAGGGGTACCCATTTTGGGGGTCTCTTCAAGGGGACTCTACTCTATTTGGGGTATATATAGGGGGTACCCCCCCCCCCCCCCCTCTTTTCGGAAATCCCCCCGTCGCCATGCACTAAACTGCGAGACGTCCGTCCCGAGGCGCTCTGCTGCGACACGGCGCTTCCCGGTGCCCCGCTGGGTCGGGCCTCGGCGCAGGCATCTGCGCAGCTCCCGGACCCTTCAGCTGGGCCAGCTTCGTGTATTTATTTTGTTCATTTTATTCTTATTTTTCGAAACATAAGTTTTTTATGTGCAGAAGACAGGAGCCAGTCAGAAAAAGTCACAACCCAGGGCAGGGGATGTTTGTATTTCTGCCCCTCTTGGGCTTAAGAGGGTCTTCATCAGGAATATGCTTCGAAGAACTTAAGGGGCCAATCACAACCTGTCACGCCCAGAGAGGGATGTTTCAAGCCCTGGATCCCGTGGCAGGTGCAGCAGCGCATGTGCCAGGTCAAGGCCCGGCCACTCCTAGGTAGGATAAGGGGGACCCTTCAAAAGGGGACCCTTCTTAACCCTCTTCTGGCTCTTTTAAACAGGGACCTTCTTCAGAGGGTCTATATCCCCAAGCGGCCCCCTAATCCCTAAACCAGGCCACAGGATGCCCTAAAAGCCCGCACACTCACCAGGGGGGGGGGGGGGTGGATCTAAAGTGTGAGCCCTTTTTTGGGTACCTAGACCCTAAACCCTAAAGCCTAAACCCTGTACCCTGAACCCTCAACCCTAAACCTTACTTAACTCCTAAACAACCAAGAGCACAGTAGAAGGGAGATGCTTTTAAAAGGACCCCATACCTCTGGCCAATGGAGGAGATGCTGTACACCCACCTTACTACGCACTTCCATGCGAACTCCGAGGACCGAAATGGGCACCGAAGGGGGCTTTTTTCCTTTAGGGTTTAGGGTTTAGGGTTCAGGGTTTAAGGTTTAGGGTTTAAGGTTCAGGGCCAAGGGCTTAGGGTTGAGGTTTCCTTCTGGGCCCGTTCTGCACCCCTGTTTCCAGCACCCTGTTTTCAGATTCGCCTGCCGCCACGTGGGACCTCGGTGGCGACCTACTTCCAGGCCACGGAGCGAGAGGTGATAGCAAGCAAACCAGGTTAGGCAGCAGCTTTTGCAGTGCTCGGTCTGCAAGCTGTATGTCTCGCACTTGCTGCAGTATGCTCATCTCTGTGCATGGGTGCTCAGACGGCTGCCCACTTGCTCATGGACATTGCGCGGCTGCCACTTGGCTGAAGTGCAAGCAAACTTCCGAATTTGTCCAATATCCATGGCATGCCGGCGTGCGGCCTTTATTTAAATTGCATTCGCAAGCGAGGGGTCTGAGACCCTGTAAGACCTTGTCTCGTTGGACCCGATTGGCCTCTCCAGCAAAACTAGGCTCTGGCTTGATGCGGACTTCGGACACGGGTCCATGGTCGGGCGCCCAGACCTCCAGATGCTTGCCCTTGCCCGGGAACTTCACTTGAGCTTCACGGTCATCATTCGACTTTTCGCTAATGCACGTCATCTAACTACAGGCTTGCAGTAGCTTGCACCTCTTAAGTAAGTCCTAGATGACCTGTGTCCAAGCGTCTCCCTTTCGATGAGCATGACGACGAGGTCTTTCTGCCCGAGCCCCGCGAGATCTTCTCGGCTCAGATCTTTGCGGCGCGCCGGATGGAAGGGATGGTGAGGGCTTGCCGAAGACAGTCCACTCAGAGTATGAGGGTTGCCAAGGCAAACAAGCTTTCCTGGTTTCGGGAGGTCCGTTTGAGTCAGCTATCACAGAATTTGGCGACGATCGACATGGTAGGGATGAGGGCAGTTTGGGCTCCTTCACTTCGCTCATGCTTTCCCTATTCATTGTGGGGTCGTTTTTTTGAAATTCATGCTCGGACCTGTATTCTTAACATTGTAATATTGTTATCATTCATTTTCATTGACTGTTAGTATTGTAGGGGGTGGTGGGGCCGGGGTGGGTGGGGCTGAAATAGCAAGGAACGGCTGGAGAGCAGTACAGACAGAAAGAAATGCGGACAGATCGACAGTGACAGAGAGACAGAGCGAGCGAACGAAACCGCAGATATAGGGGAGGGGCTGTAGCACCCCCTTCCCCCCAACCTCCTCCCCGCTCTTTACTTTAGCTACCTTGAACATACTAGCAAATGAAGATCTACACCACGTTTGGGGTTTGCATGTGGTGTTTATCTTGGTGTTGGTTTTGTTGATTGCCTTTTCAATACATATCGGCTGAACAAGTTGGAACATCAGTTGTTTGCAGTTCGCAATGCGCCTGAGCCGCCTGTGAGAAGTGCGGCGATGTGTCGCACCAGGCGCTGTATCTGGCTGGGGCGTACGAAGCCTGGGAGCTGTGCTGCTGGCATGTCTTGGGAGCCTTTTCTGGCATAATTCTGCCACTCTTGACGGGAGCCAAGGCTTCTTTCATCCAAGGGGCCCTGCATCCCCGGTATACCCCAAACCCTTGATCGTGCCCTCACAGCATTGCAGGTCCTTCCCGGAAGGGGAGTCTGCCTGGCAATGGGAGGACGACGTCACTGCGTCCGCTAGGAGCAGGGGACATATGCCTGGATGTGCGCTGCATCGACACCAGGAGATCATGAACCAGCTGGTTGAGCTCCGGCATGAGGACAGAGCTTTGGGGCAGCGATGTTTTCCAAGGTTTCATAAGCCTCTTTGTTGTGGCGAGTACTTCGAGGAACAAGGAGCTTGTGCTGATTGAGCAGCAGCAGTACTTGGTTCGTGGTTGACAGATGACGACTGTGAACACCGCACTGCAGCATCCAGGAGTGGGGGGGCGGGGGTGGGAGTGCTGCATGCGAACAGGTTCTCTGGTGTCAGCCCTTCCGAACCTGGCGCGAGGCACGGTTGGGTTTGCCGGGAAGGATGGGAAGGGAACACGGCGCAACCCTCATCAAGCCCCAATGCTGAGCTCCAGACAGTGCACATGCACCAATTGCTCATCGGCTCTCGCCATGGCACCCACAGAATTTCCAGGAGCTTGTGTGGAGCCTTCGACCTGGCGTGATCGCATGGTTCTCAGATGCCTACCAGACCATGGCGGTGTACTTCTTCTAGGGCCGGATTCGGGAAGGCCCTCTGATAAGAAGTTCACCTACTTCCAGGGACCAGAACCCTTTTTGGTCCCTGAAAGCATCGCGGAAGATGCTGAACACGATTCCTTCCTTACTAAAGCTGTTCAGATCGTTATCCTATGAACCCGCAAGCTGCTAAGATTTGTTGATTTTGGAACGAGATCTTATATCAACACGAAACTGTTTGTTAAGATTTCCCACGTTAGGTGCTCAGCAGATCCAGCCCAAACCCAGAAATCCTAAACCTCAAGCCTAAACCCTTAACCCAGAATACTAAACCCTAAAACCCTTAACCCTAATCCCTAAAGCCCTCAACCCTGAAACCCTTCATCCTAAACCCTAAACCCCAACACCCTAAGACACCAGACAGAGTGCAAAGGCCTGGCCAAGCGAGCGCCAGCTCGATGAGGAGCGTAAGAAGCCGGGCCCCCGTGAGCTTTGGGGTCGGAAGGATTGGGGCACAACATGGCTAGAGGGCCGTAGCTATATTGCTATATGACTATATGATTATATAAGACTATAATATATTTATGTACTGAAACATAGTTAGTACTGTATATACCTACAACTACATAAATGTAGGACTATATATTATGTATAGGTACAGAGTCGTATAATCATACAAAGTCATAAATCTCAGGAGGCAATATTCGACAAGTGCAGAACCGAATCTTGAAGAGTGTCGAGGCTCCTGTTCCGGGATCCTTTGAAACACATCACGTAGAAGTAACTTCTTGAGGTAAGAGGCGTTTAGGGGTTCAAGGTTTAGGGTTTAGGGTTGAGGGTTTAGGGTTTAGGGTTTAGGGTTTAGGGCTCAGAGAGTGTGGCAAATCTTCAGGACATCGCATGTCGAGGAGCTGCCCATTGACGAGCACCGCGAGAAGATGCTCGGGCAAGTTTGGCTTCAGGGTTCCTTCGTTGGAAGAGGGGGGGGGGGCCTTTGGGAGGTAAGATTATTATAATTACTATACTTACTTTATATTTTTATTATGTAGAGAAGGCACGCCCTGGCACCAAGGATCCTGAAGCACATCGAGACACACCGAGTCACGTCGGATGCCTCGGGTGCAGTGACAGATCCGAGGTTGGACTTCAGGTAGTTCAACTGTGTTTCGGTGCTTGTGTTCCTTCTGTGCGCCAGCCATTTTTGCCTCAAGTGTCCCAAGAAGTTGCCAAGTCCTCTGCTCATCGCTCAACAGTTCAAGTCCAGTGCGTTGTTGACATCTCTCGGCCATACCACAAGCTTTTTGGAAGCCAGTCCTTGGGATGTTCCCCCTTATACTAACAGTCCCTTAATCGGGATTCTACTAGGGGGTAGTACAATCCCTATTCAGGACTGTTAGTATAAGGGGGTCACAAGGACCCGTGACAAGAGTCCTTTGCTGCCATGCCTCTGCGGCAGAGCTTGTCGCTGACAGACCTGAGCTCCTTGGGCGGAAGTCGCTCCACGTCCTTCTTTGATGTTGTCAAGGCCAAGAAGCACAAGTTCCCGTGGGAAAAGAATGATGGCATGTTTGTTATGGGTCCCATTGGCGACATGCTGCTGAAGAAGCTCAAGGAGAAGGACGTCACCCCGACAGCAGATCCGCGAAGCTATTCCACCAAGTCATTCTGCTCGACGCCAGTGTCGCCCTCCACCGCGCTTCGCCGTGGGAAGTGCAAGGTTGCTGGCAGCCGCTGCAAGCGCTACAACCCTCGGCTCTTCATCCCATTGACCCTGATGGATGGACTGGAGATCGCGAATGATCTCAAGTTCGCGGCAAACAAGCTGCTGGAGGAGGCCGCCGACGAAGTGCCCTACGGCATCGAGGAGTCTGGAGACGGCGAAGCCGGTGAAGCCACGGGACGACGCGAAATCTTGCCCGGCATCGCGCCCCACGATCTCTCCTTTGAGCTTGAGGAGCCCATCCCCAACGGGGCCCCGGTGTTCTCCAAGCCGGGCCGGATTGCGCGCTTCAGGATCAAGGAGGAGCGCTGGAATCGTGAGATGCAGACGGCCACCGAGGGTGTGAAGGGTGTTCTGAAGCGCCTCAGCGCATCGGAGTTCGCCTGTAACACCCAGCTGCTCGCGGAGCTCAGGGAGTGGTGTGACGGCTACCGCGCCATCAAGGCCAAAAGGGTGGCCGACAGGGCCTTCAAGCTGGCAGAGGACCGAAGTCACGGCTTGAAGTCGCTCAAGCCTTTTGCCCCACACATTTTTTCTTTGCATTTTGCGGCAATAGGTATGTTGCTCTGTGCGAAACATTGAAACGTCGCGTGCAGACCGGACTGGCGATCTAGAAATATCGGCAATGCAAGCTAGAGAGCGGCAAGAGGGCAGCACTGAATGCAATGTCTTCCAACGATGTAAGATATGTAAGTTCATCGAAAGTGTGCTAGGATGTGCTACTAGCCACTCTTCTAGTCTTCCAGTGTGCCCTGGGGAGGACCGCGAGCTGGCCCTGCAGCGCCGCGCCCGCAGCGCCAAGCGCAGCCCGGACCAGCCGGACTTAGTGGAGCGGGGCCGGCTGAGGGCCAAGAAGCTTGGAGAGCTGGCAGCCAGGGATGCTGAGCAGGAGATCGATGCTGCCCTGGAGCTCTGCCAGTGTGGCTACCAGGAGCTCTGGCACGAGGGGCCCGTCTCTTTTCACGCGCCTCGCGTCCCTCAGCGCCGCAACTCCCGGAGGCTCTCGATCTCCAGGTCGCCCCTGGAAGCGATGCCACCGGCACACATGCGAAGCTGGGCAACGGAGGCAAGCTCAGAGAATCCGGCTCTGATCTGCGCAGCCACACGGCCGTGCAGTTGCATGGGGGAGGCGAGCTGGGACCCCCCGGGAGCATGTGCATGGGGCCTGGGGTACATGACTATGTAAATGGCGTGCTGGCGAATGCAAGAGCTAGCTTAAATTGCTCAGCACCAGTCCTGAGGGCCTAGCAAAGAGCTGCGGAGTGGCAACCCTGCATGAAGCCTCTGCTGGTTCTCGTAGTCTCTAAATAGGTGAGGGCGGCGCAGAAATAGTTGAGTCGCCGGGGTGGCGCTGTTTTCTTCGCTTTCTGCATCTGTTGCATATTAGGCCGGAAAGGCCATGAACGGCTTTGGGAGAACTCAGTGGTTGTTTGGAAGGTTTCTGCTAGGTTGAGAGGGCCCATCCGAAACTCATTACTATGAACTGAGACGCACAAGCTCCGGTGGCTGAATTTCCAGGACGCCGTGCTGTCTGAGGGCCGTCTCTCCTTGCGGCACGTTGCCGCCCAAGTGAAGCCCTTGCCGGAAGTTTGGGCTCTTGGCAGGTCGTGTATGTGTGTGTGTGAGCAGGCAGAAGGAAAGGCCGACCGACAGACCGACAGACCGACAGACCGACAGACCGACGGTCCGACAGAGTGACAGACTGACAGACCGACAGAAGAGACAAAGAACGACAAGTTATGTCCGCTCCACATACTCGGGATGTTACCGGCATCACACCCATGGAGGTCGACAGGCTCGACAGGGCGCAGCCGACTGTGCTGGGGCATGCGAGTGCGTGGGGGTCATCCCCCATGCCCTCTGAGAAGAAGTAGAAGGAGAGAGAGAGAGAGAGAGAGAGAGAGAGAGAGAGATAGAGAGGTCGTGCCCCTTGGGGCGGCTCCCTTCCCTGGGGGGGGGGGGGGGGTCATACGCCTGGCAAGCAAGCAAGCAAGCAAGCAAGCAAGCAAGCAAGCAAGCAAGCAAGCAAGCAAGCAAGCAAGCAAGCAAGCAAGCAAGAGAGAGAGAGAGAGAGAGAGAGAAAGAGAGAGAGAGAGAGAGAGAGAGAGAGAAAGAGAGAGAGAGGAGGGGGGCACGAAGTGATGGGGGTGGTTTGCCTTAGGAAGGTTCCGAGCAGAGTTGTGGGGCGTGACGACTTGTAGGGGTTGGAGGGTGAATACTGAACCCATAGGCTGCAAGCGTCCCTCGGGTGATGGTTGGATATGAAGGCGGGCGAGCGGCAGAAAGATGGGCGTCGTGGGGGAGTAGCATCGAGGGTGGATACCAGGCCCCGATCAGGTGGCCAAGTGAGTGGTAGAACCGACCAAATGCAGGGGGGGGGTTCCCCTTGAGAGAGAGAGAGAGAGAGAGAGACCGGGTTTCTTTGTCCAGGGGGCCGCTCGAAGAGAGTGAGTGAGTTAGAGTTGGTTCCCATCGTGACATTGGCTTCGCGTGTGTGCAAGCTTTTGCTACGTTCACTGCGCGGGGCGTTATCAGACTGTCTCTCTGTCTCTTGTGGCCTGGTGAACCCCCTGTGCGCGTGCATTCTGTTCGGGTCCTAAGTGAAGCCGCCTCAGGGCAGAATTGTTTTGCACGGGTCGACTTTTGTTCAGGGGCATCCGACTCCGACAGGGTGCCCAGAGAAGCCGGCATGCAGGAAAGGCGTGGGAAGGCGCAAAGTAGGCCCAAACCCCAGGCCCGCTGAGAAGAAGAGCGGGTCGGCTGTTAGTTTGACCGTGGGGGTGTCACTTGCTGGGGGGAGGCCTCGGAGTGAGGGTCAAGTCAGAAAATATGCCCATCACGCCGCCTGAGTCGAGAACAGAGAAGCCCTGAGTCGAACATGCCTTGAACCCCCGTGCCGAAAGCCAGCAAGACCCCCCCAACAGAAAGCACCTGCAGTGCAGCCAACGACCCTATACTCCTCTCCCCATGTGGTTGTGTCAGTTTCTCTACTCTGAAAAACCGCTGTTTTCCCAAGAAGGCGGGGGGTGGGTCCTTCCTTCCCCCGCTTTTTTTCTTTCCCCTTCCGGAGAGGCTTATTTTTGGCCCCGGGAGGAGACGAAGAGAGAGATCTCGATGTTGGGAGACCTTTCCGCCTTGGGTGAGAGGGGGCGTTGCTTGAGAAGAACAGCAGAGGGAGGGAGGGGAGCCGAGAGTTCGCTGCTCCATCAACCCTAAACCCAAAACCCTATATAAACCCTAAACCCTAAACCCTAAACCCTAAACCCTAAACCCTAAACCCTAAACCCTAAACCCTAAACCCTAAACCCTAAACAGGAAGAGTTCCTGTCCGAGGCTGGAGTATCGATCATGGCAGCGAGTGCGTGAGCTGCAGGTTCACTGGGCAAGGCTAAGGGCTCGCTTTCCTTGTTTAGGGTTTAGGGTTTAGGGTTTAGGGTTTAGGGTTGTGCTTATGACTGGTTGTGTTTTGTGTGCAGAACATCGCCTTTGTCCCCAGAATTTTTTTGGCGCAGCGCCATAGGCAGGCCAAAGGCACCAGAAGGTGACCTGAAGTTGCCTGGTCTCTAACGCCCCTTATTTCGAAGGATGCCTTCTCAAGGAAGGATGCTTCTTTACAAGTGTGGCTGCTGCAGGGCGTCGTACAGAGGGCGTGTGGCAGCAGTCTGTTCGTAATCGAGCAGCCAGAAGGTTGAGGACGCCGTGCAGCACCCTCCAAGTGCGAATTCGGCCCTCGAAACTGATTGGCCACGGAGCATCACAGAGCTTCCCCCAACTTTTAACCTCAGCCTTCACGAAGTGAAGGCTCAGCGTGGAAGTAGATTGACGGCATGATACGGCATGAAACATCCTGACTAGTTTTGTTTTGCTTCTCGTTTTCGGCCTTGTGGGGGCCATTGCAGTACCTGCTTGTTTGCGTACTCAGTCGCATTTGCTGCTGAAGCTAGCTGAGGTGCATCCAGGGTGAGACAGGCTGTGGGAAGTCAACCAGGGTGCCGGTGTACGTGATGGAGGATCGATAGTCCCATTTGCTGCATGACGGCCTGCTGATTCTGCTGACCTCAAGCATTGCGACCCCTAAGAGGAGTACTTCGAGAAACGGCGAGCTGGCAAGATTTCCAAGGAGGACAAGTTCATGGTCCTCTGCACACAACCCAGGCGAGGCGAGTTGCTGAGACTAAGCTTCGGCGGCATCTTCAGTTGCAGTGCTCACCCGCTCGCCGTGTTTTTTCTGGTAGGAAGCAGGGCGCAGATCTGCAAGGTTCTGGATCAAGCGTTCACGCAAGCAGCCTCCAGAGTCTTGTAGAAATCCAATCATGGGTACCTTCTTGCCTCTGGCTGGCGACACTCTTTTAGAGCTCTAGTGGCTCGCACGGCATGAACTCGGGCGCACGAACCTGGGTATTACCTTGGGTGCGTCGGGTGCGTGCTTTTGGGAGCACCTCCCGTCCCCCTTGGCCCTCTGCACCTGCCCGTCCTCCGCCGCCCTCACCACCATCTCCACCCTCTCCGCCCTCACAACCCTCACCACGACCAAGCGAGTCCGCGGGTGGCAGGTCTGACCGTAGGACTGCTGCCCCAGTCTACTTGCGCACGGCTCTTCACCGGGAATTCGCATCTCATGCTGCTTCGCAAAGGCCGCATGCAATCTTCAAGACACTTTGGCGACATGCGGACAGGTTCCACTTGGAGATGATTGACTTGGATGCATGCCTACATTCTCTGGTGAAGTGCAACACGGAGTCCTGGAGTTCACAGAAGTTCGCAGGAAAGGCTCGAGGCAATGTGGCCCTCAGCACCGACGAGCTCCTGCGCCTGCTTGCCCGCCTGAAGGCAGAATTGCTCCATGAGCATGCCAGCATCTCGGTCGCAGATGACCCATTCATTGCCCACTTCAACCCTGAACCCTAAACCCGAAACACTAAACCCTGAACCGTCCTGAACCCTACACCCTAAGCTCTAACCGCAATGCTCCTAGAGCCGGTATTCATGGGGGGAGTGACGAGGAAATCAAAGAAAGGAGTTCTCACCTTTCCTGAATTTCCTGAGAATCACTGAGACGCCAATGACACCACGCGGCACCTCGCGACCACTGCTTGGGACGTGACCTCAGCGGTTTCCGGAGTGTGCGCTTCTGGTTGAGGGTTTATAGGGTTTAGGGCTTAGGGTTTGGGGTTTATAGGGTTTAGGGTTCTCGGGTTTGGGGTTTAGAGGGTTTAGGGTTTAGGGTTTAGGGTGTACTTCGGTGCTTTTCTTGCCCTTTCCGCTAAACGAGTCTTTCTCAAAAAAGGCTCGGATCAATTGGTGAGAAGTTGCGTTGACTGGTGCTGCATGTTGTGCTACATGGTGTGAAGAGGGATCGTGATCGGGGGATTCCGCGAGATGCTGGGACAAACTTGAGGTGTCAGGATGCTGCGCAACCCAGAAAGTTCCAAGGGGCTTAGAGGCTTCGAGAGGTTTGCAGCTGCTGGTAGCAAAGGCCAACGGCCACGCACTCGGTTGCCCAGGTGTCGTTTTTGCGGGTTTAGGGCAATAGTTTGTGTGTTGAGGGTTGCTTGCAGAGAGTGAGGCCCTTGCAAGCCTGTCGCGATGGCAGCCGGCCCTGAGCCGGGAGGCAATCTGCGGGGCATTGAAGGGGTTTGCAATCAAATCATGCTCAATCAGGGTTTGTCGATGTTGGTGTGCATGCTGGTTTGGCAGTCGTGGGTAATAAGGGTTTCGATCAGTTTTGCGTCATCAAGTTGTGAAGCCCTTTCATTCTGAGAGCTTGTTTCCCCGCATGAATCGAGGTGTTGCAAACGATGAGACCCATCTTCACACTCATCGAGGACAAGCTGAGCAGGAGGTTTGCTCGCAGTAACAATGGCTGACCCAAAGCCTAAAGGAGGACACAGAGCAATGCAGGGAACACCTCTCTACCGAGTTGCCAAGGCCCCACCTCAACCAGGCAACTGTGTGGTTGTTTTGCAGGCGCTGATGGCTAACAAAGGCTCTTGATTCTTCCTTTCAACTCACCACAAAACAGGCTAGTCTCTACGTCCTGGGAACGCTACAGATCTGGGTTGCAAGCAATTGCATCGCTATGATGGGCTCCCAGTGATAGCAGTGCAAAGAGCATCGCTGGCTGTACAGGGGTGTCGTTTTTCAGTATGCAACTGGCTTCTTGCTTTTTTTGGCTTCTGCATCTTGTCCTACGACGAACCTTGTTTTAGGGTTTAGGGTTTCGGGTTTAGGGTTTAGGGTTTAGGGTGAGTCGGGGCAGACCGGAGCGGAGGGGACATGAAGAGAGGGTGGAGGGTGGGCGTTCAGGAGATATAGTGTTGGTATAGACAATGCCTCTGACCATGATCAATCGTTAGGTGATGCGCATTTGGCTTCTGACTTTACGACATATTATAGCTCAAGTTGACGCCATACCCATGTGGGCAGGACTTGGCGAAGCCATTGCTCTCTGACTTCACGCCTGGCCCTTGGACTGCCCCATTGGCTGAAACGAAAACGCTCCACAATAAGAGCAGCAACTACACTACATGGAAACTACACATCATGGAAACTACCCTCCATGGAAACTACACATCCTCTCTCGAAATTCCTTGAGGCTCAGCAACGTGTCCATGCTGGCTTGGGGCTATGCCAGGTCCGGCCTGGGCGTCGGCAGCCGAGACAAGAGAGCAATGGCTTCGCCCAGCAAGAACCTTGAGGTTTAGTGACTGTCAGCTTGCCGTCCGGGTAGTTGACAGATGAGAGCACAATAGCAAGCTGCTGTAGCATAACATGCGATTGAAGATTTTTGGCTAGCAACGAACAGAGCCAGTGTCGACTGCATGTTGGGCTTTGATGTCAATATGTGTATGAGTACTAAATGCCCAGCTTGCCTGTGCCAGCTGCCGAGACTAAAGACCTATTCGATCGTATTGGCCATGCAGCTTTGGCCCGTCAGCAACAGCGTCGCGCTGAGAGCTTCATCTGGTCACTGGTAGTCGCACGGGCTTCGGGTGCCTGCGAGGGTGTTTGTGGTTCAGTATAATTCTGTATTCTATATTCTTTGTTCTATATTCTATAATTTATATTCTATATTCTATATTCTACATTCTATATTCTATATTCTATATTCTATCTTCTATATTCTATATTCTATGGTTCTTGCAGAATAGGGGCGAGTCAGTGTTGTCGTGGATCCTGAGGCTCAGCGCCCGGGATGTGGCAAACTTGACCTGGTCTTTCGCTGCAGTAAAGCTTTCGCACGAGCTCCTGAAGTGGGCCCGTTTCTCAGATTTAGGGTTTAGGGTTTAGGGTTAGGGTTTAGGGTTTAGGGTTTAGGGTTTAGGGTTAAGGGGTTTAGGCTTCTCAGATTTCGTCCGGGGTGTTTCCTTAGTCAGCCTTTTTCATGAGGGAACTGCCTGCGGCGGGTCTTTCAAGCAGCCAAAGGAAGTGAGGAGTCCCGAACCCCAGGCTGTGAGCCCGAAACCCTACGCCCTAAATAACACCACGGAAGGGGGGGGGGAGGGTTGCGGACAAGGGGGCAGAGAGGTGCCCGGGCCATGGGGCTTATAAACTTGAACAAACGCCTGGATGGGGGGGGGTCCCTGGACTCTGGCCCCAACCTTGCCTAAACCCCAAATCCCTAAAGCCCTCCAGTTGCGATGCACTTAGGTTCCCACTTTGGTCCAGGAGGCGCCTGTAGGGTTTAGGGTTTAGGGTTTAGGGTTTAGGGTTTAGGGTTTAGGGTTTAGGGTTTAGGGTTTCGGGCCTGAGCTCAAAGCAGTGTCTCAGAACTTATCAGTACCCAAGTTTAAGACATACTTCAATAGTGGAGTAAATCAGTGAATAATTGTGCAATAATACTGAATTTGCCATACTGCAGTACAATAATATATTTTTGCAAGAATGCAGCAGTACAATTATGCACCCATACAAGAATGCAATACCAGTACAATAGTACTTTTTTTGACCCGCTTAACCCACTCTTTCTTTGACCCGCCTCGCCCCCCCTTTTCCTGTAGGGGCGGCGCGGCGTGGCAGCCTTTGAGGAGCAGGAGACTCCCCTTGTAGGTCTTGAAGCCCTAAACCATATCAGCCCCAAAAGCCCTAAAACCCCATGAGCCCTCTAAGCCCTCGAGGCCCGATGAGCCCTCTAGGCCCTATAAGCCCTATGGGCGCTATAAGCCCGAAGCCCTAGAAGCCCGTAAGCCCTATAAGCCCTATAAATCCTGTAGCCCTGTAAACCCTAAACCCCAAACATAGTGGAGTTCACAGCTTTTACCTGGTGCCCGTGTTTGCGCCTGTTTTATCTCATTTCATGGTTAAGGTCGCCAAGGGCACTCTCCAAACGCGCAGCAGCGCCTTACATTCAAGTTTGGGGTTAATTGGCACTGCTTTGTGGTTTCGAAGATGAAGTCTTGCAGGAACCCTAAACCCTAAACCCTAAACCCTAAACCCCAAACCCTAAGCCCTAAACCCTAAACCCTAAACCCTAAACCCTAAACCCTAAACCCTAGCCCCTAAACACTAAACCCTAAACCCTAAACCCAAACCCCAAACCCTAAACCCTAAACCCTAAACCCTAAACCCTAAACCCTAAACCCCAAACCCTAAACCCTAAATCCTAAACCCTAAACCTTAACCCTAAACCCTAAACCCTAAAGCCTAAACCCTAAACCCTAAAGGCTTGCAGCATGAGGGCTGGCCAGAATCTGGTAGCAAAACCTAACGCTGCATGGCTGACAGGACTTGTCTGCGCTGACCTGGGGCCTTCAGCTTACAGGGATGTTGTCTGTTAGGTCACTGCAGGGGAACCTCCCATTAACGGATTGGTGTTTGGTGTTTGGGTTTCTGGATGTTTCTGGGTTCCTGCCCTAAACCCTAAACCCTCTCCTACTTATATATATATATATATATTTAAATAACACGTTCGTCGGCAAGGCACAAAACCTTCGTCGGCAAGGCACAAAACCTTCGTCGGCAAGGCACAAAACCTTCGTCGACAAGGCACATCCTCGAGTTTTATGTCTAGGGTTCAGGGTATTCACTGGTTTTGTGCCTTTGCCGACGAAGGTTCTGTGCCTTGCCGACGAAGGTCATTAACATTTAGGCTTAAATGTTAAACCCCTTCGTCGGCAAGGCACAAAACCTTCGTCGGCAAGGCACAAAACCTTCGT